TTTTCTCCTAAAACTCCTTAGATTTTACATATTGGTTTTTAACTCACCTGAATATTTGTTGTATAATGTGTAAAATAGGATTCTATATTTGTTTTATTTCAGGTAATGGTGGTCCATGCACCTTATATATTGAATTTAATCCCACTGATTTGATATATCAATTTAATCATATATTACATTGTTAGACAGATATATACATTTGTTTCTGGAATGCTCATTTTATTTCATTAATCTACTTGATTATTTCTGTGCTGGTGTCATGATTGCTAAGATTTTATAATGGGTTTACATTTTTTAATATTTTATAATGGATCTTGATATTTAAAAAAATAAATAAAATCAATCTGCATTTAAGCAAAAAAAGAAAGAAAGAAGGAACTCTTACCTTTTGCAACAACATGGATGGAAATGGAGAATATTATGCTAAGTGAAATAAGCCAGTTGGTGAAAAACTAAAGCCATATGATCTCACCTATAAGTGGAATCTATTCAACAAAATAAGCTAATGTACAAAATAAACCACAAGCAAGGAAACATGGAACAGATTGAAAGTGACAAGAGGGAATGGGGAAGGAGGACAATGGTGGAAAGAAGGAGAAGGGACTAGAAAAAGAACATCCATGAATGACCCATGGACATGGATAACAGAGTGGGAATTGACTGTGGGAGCAGGGGGTGGGTGGGATGGGTGGAGGAGGCCAAAAGGGGGAAAAATTGAGACAACTGTAATAGAATAAACATGATTTTAAAATAAAATTTTAAAAAATAATTCCATTAAAGAGTAGTGATGCTGGTAACTTGCACATGCCAAAGAGAGGTCATGAAGTGTTACATTTCATGTTATTCATAAGCTCCGCCGTCATTTAGTATTCTGGTTGTGAGTCCGTGAGTATCTACTCAAGTGCTTGAATGGTTGGTGACTGGATTGGTGATTTCAAAAGGTCTGAGTTGTGGATGACCATGAGGCCCAAGGTTTGGGTCCAGGATGATGGGTGGCTAGAGGGGTGTGCCTTCATTTTAGTGAGCATGGGAGCAGGGATAGACTGAGCAAACGCCTGATATCAATGAGGCTTGAATTGGGGTTGCACATCTGATTTTTCTTATCCTTGTCACTGTGGGTCCTGTTTTTCCCAAGTCTATCTTGGGAAGTTTGTTATCTATCATTCTGTGGCCAAGTGAGATAGCTTATGTGACTCTATGGATGATTGCTTCAAATAAGCTTGAATTTGAATCTATATATATATAAATGAATTTTTATGTAACCTTTGCTGGTTTGGCTGGATTGACCTTTAAGTGCTTGGGTATGTTGTAGTTCCAACCACCATTTGGGTTTGTCAGCAGCACTTTATCTGTTCCACTATTTTTTTTCTCTGTTATGTTTGAAAATATTTTATTAGATCTATTTTTTTTCTTGGATTAAACCTCTTGTCACATCCGATGTCCTTCTTGTTTCTCTATAATGATCTCCTTCTTGAAGTCTATATAAAAGTTTATTAATTCAACTTTTATTTAGTTACTATTTGCCTGATGGGAATTTTTCTTCCTTTGATTCCCTTCATCTCCTCCTAACACTCTTATTTATTTCTAACCTGGAAACATTTTGCCTCTCTTAGGAAAACTGTGTTTTGCACTATAGTTTCTACATTTCATAATGTCATTACGATGAGCTATCACAATTATTTGTGTCCTTTGACCTGTATGTCCCTTGAGAGCAGGGCCCGATTTTCTGACTGCGTGTTCTCTGCAGTGCTATGAGAGTCGGCGGTGCTAGCCTGTCTCCCATCCAGGTGACTATCACAACCCTCCCTTTATCAGGAGACACTGGGCCCCTGAACTACCTGGTGTTGGAGGGTTTGGTTCAGAGAATTGGTTAGGGAGATTCAGGGTCCCTCAGAGGTGAAACTAAAGACATCATTGCAAACACTTGTTTAAAATAAAATTTATTGCAGTAACAGTGGTTAATAAAATTATATAGGTTTCAAGTGTACAATTCTCTGATACATCCTCTGTATAGTGCATTGTGTGCCCACCACCCAAAGTCAAATCTTCTTCCACCACGACGTATTTGACCCCTTTACCCTTTACTCTGCACCACCCGCCGCTGCTCTGGTTGCAAATAGAACTTGGTTACGAGTTGGAAAGTCCCAATGCTATACTTATAAATAATTAAAACTAAGGAAAACGTGAATTTGAGTACTTAAAAGCTTTGTAGTTTATGAGGTTTTCATTCTGTCCTAGAGGGTTGCTTTACAATTTTAACAGTTAGGAAAGTAACATCAGTTGAATACAATGTATATGGCAAGTACTGCCAATATAACACTACAGTTTTGATTCTGTTTTATCATTGTGAAAACTAAAGTCCAGGAAATGAGAGAAATTGACCCAAACTCAGAATAAGTGAAAAAATGTGGTGTTTAGAAATTATAAATTTGTAAATTTAAAAGAAAACTTACCATTTCCTAAGTAATTTTTAAGTTCCAGGCACTGATACCACCAGTCCATGGGGTTTATTTAAAGCTCATGTAACTCATTATGGAGGTATTATTACTGCATTTTAGCCTAGGAATTCACAAAGATTAAATAATGTGTTTAAGTCAACCAGCTTTATATTGCAGAACCGATATTTAAAACAGTTTCACTTAAAAGCCGTAACCCTGAGGTGACAGCTTCTCACCCCTAAATACATCTCAAACCTCATACGTCTGAACCTCACACAGCCACCACCAAATAGTTTTCATCAGAACTTCACTGCCCTGGAAATAAATATTTAAAAATAAATATTTTTATCAGAACCTCACTCTCCCACCCTCTGCCCTCATATGTGCACCTAAAGGCTGCTCTGCTCTCAGCTTCTAGCAGAAATGGAAGCCTGATAGTGTGTTTCTTTGACTACACCAGGTTTTTTTTCTATGCCAAAAGAAGAATAGGGTAATGGAATCTGGAGACGGGAGCCTTGTTTCAAATCCTGGTTCTAAATCACTCCCCCTTTGTGGTCTCAGAAAATTAACCACACTGAGTTTTAGATTTCATGCCTGTGACGTAGGCCAGGCCTACCTCTCAGGGGGCTGTCATGACAATTGAGATGACAGAGGTAATGCGAATTCTAATGTTGAGCAGGTATTCCATCACTGGGTGCCCTGCAACGTAAGGCAGCCATCCTCAGAGTGTGGCTTGGGAACCACCTGGAGTCCCTGACCCCTTTTAGGGGGTCTGTGACTTGAAAACCACTTCCATAATAATACAAAGATCTGTTTACCCCTTCCCATGAGTTTACCATGCTATTCTCCGTGGGCTACAGAAGGTGAAAGGTCACAATAGGTTGAATACAAAATAAATGAAGAGATGCCACATGTCTCCCATTAAGTTAGAGAGAAGTGGTAGTTCCCAAACTTTGCTCTGCCTTGGAGTCACCTAGAGATCATTGGAAAACATGGGTGTCTGGCTCTCACCACATTCTGACTTAATTGTTGTGTGGTGGTAGGTGGTGCATTGTAGTTCATGAAACTTTTTCAGGTGATGTGAATGGGAAGTTAGGTAAATGGGGATTTGTTTTACAATAGGTATAAAGTTTTCTTGTGAAGTAAGTTCTAGAGAGCTTCTGTGCAACAAAGTACTTATCATTAATAAAATGGTATTGTGTGCTGTAAAATATGTTAAGAGGATAGATCTCATGTTGTGTTCTCACCAAGAAACAGAAACAAAAACAAAACTCAACAAAAGGACACAAGGACATTTTTGGAAGTGACGAATGTGCTTATTATCTTGGTTATGGTGATGATATTGGAAGTATGCATATATTAAGTGTGTGCAATTTTTTGTATACAAACTATAACCCAGTAAAGGTAAGAAATAAAAAGATGTTAAGTAACCTTAAAAAAGAGATTTGCAAAACCATTTATCAGTGTTACTCTCCACACTAATTTTTTTTTTTTTTAGTTTAAAATGTCATTTTTAATGATAATATACGTGTCTTAATCACTTTGGGTTTTTTTTTGTTTTTTTTTAAATTTATTTACCTTTCAAATACATTTGTCTCTGCCTTCCCCCCACCACTTTCCCTTGCCCCTTCCCTCCCCCCCTCCCTCAACCCTTCCCCTTTGGTTTTGTCCATGAGTCCTTGCTATATGTTCCACACTAATTTTTTTCTATTTTAGAAAACAGTTATTTTAATAAAAATTCTATTTGTAGTAATGTGTAATTAGTCTTCAATAGTTTTTAAGAGTATAAAATAGTTCTGAGATTAAAAGTTTCAGAGACGGTGGTTGGTGGTATAGGAGTTAACACCCTGGGCCCTGGAGCTGCACTGCCTGTTGACATTAAGGCTCTGCCCCTGCAACCCTGGGCACGTCACTTACCTTCTCTGTGCATCAGTTTTCTTGTCCATGAAATGAGTATCATAGTAAAATTATTCTCTTAGAATATTTGTTAGGTTAACTAAATCATACCCATAAAACACTTTGGATGGTGCCTGGAACATTATAGTGGCTTTCACCAATATTCTGTCCCATTATTGTTACCATCGTAGTTGTTACAAGTGGATCATATTGATCTTGCACAATCAACATAAAACTTGTGGACCAAGCTATTCTTCCAATCAACTCGTCTGTCCACACAACAGTAGAGTAAGAGCTACTAGGCAGAGTCCCTTGGAGAGATCAACAGGCCATCATAGACCTGGTCACCGCGCTCCCTGGGCTTTGGTTCCTTTCTCTGTTACAGTGGCAACACCACACTACTCTTCTCCAGGTCAGTGAATGCATGACTGTCAGAGGAAGTGACCCCAAGGTGACCATGTGGTTGGGGAGAGGAGGAGATGGCATTGCAAAGACACAGGATATGCTTTGTCAGCCAAAATATTCCCCAACCCTGCTTCCCTGAGTCACCCCACTTTGTTTAAAGAGTTGCCAGCCTTAATATCCTATGTTCCTGTTGGCTTTTCCTCACAAACATAGTTCACCTCTCCATGGTATTATAACACTTCTTTATTTGCACAGTGCTTTTCAACACCATTCCTCACAATCACAACAGTCAAAGTGTCTACTGAAAATTGAGAAAGACATAGCAATGAGTAATTCAAGAATGCTGAAGGCCATCAACATACTCAAAATTCCCTGTAACAGAAGAAAAGAAAAAAGAAGAGTCATGGTAGTAGCACAACAATGGTTTCTCTGATAATAAGGTAGCATTGCCCAGGTAAGAAAACTCCCCCATGTCTCAAGCATATTTAATGTGTGTTTATGAAGTGGAGGCTCATTACAGTATACAGCTATCTTAGCATGGCACAGCACAGCACGGCACAGCACAGTGCAGCACGGCACCATGCAAGCCCTTCGTTTCTCCTCTGCTGCACTTAGGCTGGAATCAGACTCCAAATGAGCAACATTGGCAAATGGTCTTAAGGTATAAGTAGTTTTGTTGCTCTTTGGAATTCCATTGACAAATTTCAAGTTAGGCTTTCATCTAAAATTTTATCTAGGAGTTCTAGATGACTTAGCAGCTCTTCAGCGCTTTTTTAAAAAGCTATTAACATTTTTTTTATGTAAATTTTTTTTTTTATTTTCAGAGGAGGGTCAATTCACATATCCCATTTTACTATCGCCAACACTAATCTATTTTCTTCTCTTCTCCCCTACTTTCTGTGGTCCTACTACATCCACATGCTTAGTGTTTCTTAGAATCTGCCATATGAAATATTTTACTTCTATTAGGACCTCCTTTTACTTAGGTGATTAGTTTTCAGCTTTCTCAGCAATTTTTGAGGGGTCTCACTGGCTATTTTTTTCCACATTTTAAAAAATTTATTTTTCAAATACATTTATCTCTGCCTTCCTCCCACCACTTTCCCTTGCCCCCTCCCCACTCTCCCTCCTTCAACCCTTCCCCTTTGGTTTTGTCCATGAGTCCTTGCCATATGTTCCTTGATCATAGGCTATTTTTTTCTCTTTGTGTAGATTCATATCTTTTACATACATTTACACTAATTTAGTGGGACTTTGGAAGAGCAGAAATAAAATGCCTGTTTTCAATCCTCCATGCTTTATCAGAAGTCCAAACTAAATATTAAAACTGAGACTGTAAAAACATTCCACTCATGAATCTAATGTACATCCAGGGCTATAATTATTACCATGCTGCCATACATGTTTTTTCTTTTAGTATATCACTTTTATTTGTATATTATTCTCATTAATGTACATGCTTTATCTCCTCTACTCATCTGTGAATTCCTGAAGTTGGGGGTTATAATATATTTACTTTTCTGTTCTGCAATGCCTGGTATAATGTCTATTAGATACTATGATTTCTGTGCATGTTTGTAATAAAAAATACATTTGTCTGCAACATTATTTTGGTGTGGCTGATTAGGTGCTAAAAAAAACCTGTAGGATTAAACCCATTATGCAGTATACTTACAAGGAATAGGATGTTAACAGCCTGACACTGACTAACTTCTCCAGAATAGCCACAAAGGTAGTTTTGATCTAGGATGAAACCAAAGGCAAGGAAAATGATTCCAAATGCTGCTGCCAGGACACTAAAACAATTCATTGTTCGGCTCATCTTCACCTGAAAGAGAATAAGAACATAACACAATGACCAGGTCCAGTCTGAGTCTGTAGACAAAACAATGGGTAGGAAGACTGAAGGGCAGGATTTTAGTCACAGAGCCACAGTACCACAAAGCAGCCATGCCATCTTATATGTGTCACTTCACATCTTTGGGCTTCAGGCCCTCATCCGCAGAATGAGAGGATCCAGGGAATTTTTAATAATCCTTCCATCTCCCATAATCTGTATCTAAATTAAATCCCATTTATTTGAGTGGAGGGATACACACAGAAGAAAAAATGTTCTTAGGGGTAACGACATTGCATTTGGATGCTCTGATCAAAGACATGACCTATTTACATTTTTGTTTTATGGCTCTGTTTAATGAAACATATCTATTTATTTGCAATTTTTACACCTCCCTCTCTACCGGTAGCCTTCTCTGCTGAAAATAATTTATTGGCTCATTAATATCTCATAGCTTTGATTCTGTAAGTTAAAATTTTGCATTCATTAACATTTATTTTCTGATTCTGCTTATCAGTTCAATTATGTTGCCTACATAGTGTACCTATCATGTTAATGTCCAACTACTGCCTGTCTTAAGTGTCTGGCATGCAGTGGGCACCAAGTATACTTACAGAAGGAATGAGTGAGTTACTGGCATAATGAGACCCATTCTGCCATTTGTCTGGGGAACTTGGACAAGTCTTTTATTCTATACCTCAGGGTCTTTATATATATAAAATCAGAATTTAACTGGGTAACTTAGAAAACTTGCTTTTGGCACTAATGTTTTATGATTCTATGAAACAAAAGAAGCAAATAACATTGATTGGTATCAATAATTGACAGTTGATAGAATTAGAGAGGATTAATGATTTTCTGAATTCATTTTCAAGGCTTGAATGAATCATTTCAAAGTTATAAATAAATTTTTATTAAAGGGGAAATATAACTCACCAGAGTTTCTGTGCCTTTTCTTTCCAATGCTATTAGGCAGGCTCCAGAATTAATGAACTATTAAAAAAAAGACATATCTTAGTGATGGATGTAAAGAGCTCGCACAGAATAGACTTCTGCATGTTTCTTTCACAGACCCTCTTTCATACTTCACACAATCCTCAGGGAAGTGTGGAGGGTGCGATGCCTTGTATGGGTTGTCCATTAGTGAATAGTGGACAAAACTCTGGGCTAGAAATTTGCTTTAGCCTTAACTATTTATTTGAACATGAAAATTTTTTAAAACTTCACTGGGCTTTAGTTTTCTCATCCATCTTCACTTTACAGCTATTGCAGACTTAGCTTTGACAGCAGGACATACTGGTGACAAATCAATTTATGACCAAGATCAGATTTCATCATTCTTACACGAAACATCCTTCATACCCATTCAGTGTGTTCTCCTAGATGGGAACATAAGCAGAGTTGCAGCTAATATTTTGGGAATTCTGTAAAAATCCCAAGAATTTACATGGAGATGAGTCATAGCGGTAGCATTGTTGTCTAGTAGAAATTTCAAATCTGATCATAGCACACCCATTTTTAAATTTCGAGTTCATTGCCTGGTGTTTCTTCAGCCACATCCCTCCACTCTTACTCTCTGCACTGAACTCTTAGAAAGTGTTCTCTCCCAGGAGTGTCCAACCTTTTGCTGTCTCTGGGCCACACCGGAAGAACAAGAGTCGTCTTGGGCCACATATTATGTACACAAACACTAATGAAAACTGATGAGCAAAAAAAAAAGAAAGGTTTCAAATAAATTTATGATTTTGTGTTGAGCCACATTCATAGCCATCCTGGGCCCCGTGCAGCCCACAGACCAAGAGTTGGACACCCCTGCAGCTTTTCTCTCATGTTTTTCATGTTTTTCCCTTGGCATACAGCAAGGTATCCTATCCTTTTCTCTCAACTGTCCCCCACTCCCTTCCTCTGTATGTGCCTTCATCTGATTAACATTCTTTATAAAACTCAGTCAAGCTGGAAATGCCTCTGGGCAACCAATCCTCTATTTTGAAGATGACTTTCTAAAGAGGCAGCTTGAGTGTCCCCTGTCACCATTCATCGCACAATATGGTCATTTTTCATGTATTATTATTTTTGTTTGATTTTTGTTTTCCCTCCAATTTTATTGAGAATAATTGATATACATCACTGTATAAGTTTAGGGTATGCAGCATATTGATTTAACTTACATATTTTGTGAAATGATCACCACAATAACTCTAGTTAGCGTCTATCATCTCATATAGATACAGAACAAAAAAGAAAACAAAATAAAGTATATTTTTCCTTGTGATAAGAACTCTTTTTTTGTTTTTTAAATTATTTTTAATTTTTAATTTTTAAATTTATAAATCATGTTTATTCTATTACAGTTGTCTCAATTTTTACCCCTTTACCCCCCTCCACCCATCCCACCCCCACCCCCCGCTCCCACAGTCAATTCCCACTCTGTTGTCCATGTTCAAGGGTCATAAGGATAAGAAATCTTATAATCTTATCATTCATATATATATATATATCTATATATATATATATATATATATATATAATGCAGCAATGTTAACTATAGTCATCATGTACAGGGTTGTACTTTCACCCTTAGTACTTTTTTATCTTATAACTGGAAGTTTATGCCTTTTGATATCACTGCCTTCTCTGCTTCTGGTAACCTCAAATCTGATTTTTCTTTTTTGTTTGTTTGTTTTTTAAAAATAAATTTGATGGGGTAACAATGGTTAATTATATAGATTTCAATTCTATGACACATCATCTGTATATTGCATTGTGTCCCCACCACCCAAAGTCAAATCTTCTTCCATCATCATATATTTGACCCTCTTTACCCTTTACTACCCCTTACCCCCTTTGATTTCACCTGTAAGTGAGAGCATACTGTATTTGTCTTTCTCTATCTGACTTATTTTACTTCACATAATGCTCTTGAGTGTCATCTATGTTGTTGCAGTGGCAGGATATCCTCATATTTTTTTATGGCAGAACATTCCAGTGTGTGTGTGTATAAACTTCTTTATTCATTTGTCCATGGAGGAACACTTAGGTATTTTCCATGTCTTGCCTGTTGTAAATAATGCTGCTATGAACATGGGGGTATAGGCATCTTTTTGACATAGTGTATTCATTTCCTTCCGATATATTCCCAAAAGTGAAATTGCTGGATCATACGATAGTTCTAGTGTTAGTTTTTGGCAGAATCTCCATACTGTTTTCCATAGTCAGGGCCCATGTATTACTGACCTTTGAATCCTCATTGTCTTCCTCTATGTATCTGGCTGAGCTAGTAAATCATTTTGAATGAATCAAAGGACAAATAATCTCAAGACCCAATGAAATATTCCCAAAAGAACTTCAAGACCCAGTGATGGAATATCAGTAACTCTGATGGGAAAATAATTTCAACAAGGTTGATTTTTATATTGACATTTCAAAACCTATCATGCAACTAAATGTAACTCACTTTTTAACTAAGAATTCTCTACTATCCCTGTTGGCATGGCTTCAAATTGATCTTTGACTATACTCACCAGAATGGAGCTCCAGAATGGATATCCTGTAACGAATATAAAGGGAAACCTTGGGAATGGATTTACAAAGGTGAAAACAAATATAACTCCAAAAGAAAAGTTCATCAGTCCAAGCAGGATCTGGATAGTCTGTAAACAGAGAAAAAAAGACAAGGTGAGGACAAAGCAAAATGGTGGGTTCCCCTTTTGAAAATTTAGAAGATCTCCTTTTGGTAAGAAGATCTGGCAACTATACTTTTTTATAAATCAGGGACAGATCATAGAAACCTCATTTATGATGCATCCACGTATTTTCAGATCTCACTATCTGGTATTTGGTAATAAGCAAAATGATTTAAATCAATGTTCCTGAAAATATAGTTCACAGATTGTCAGCCTTAGGATCACCTGGGAATTAGAGATGCAAACTCTCAGGCCTAATTCCATACATACTGAATAGAGTGTCCAGGTTAAAATTCAAAACAAAACTACCATATATATGATCCAGCTTCTGGGTCCCACTTCTGGGTATATATCCAAAAGAAAAGCAATCACTATCTCAAAGAGGAATCTGCGCTATCATGTTCGTTGCAGTACTATTCACAATAGGTAAGACATGGAAACAACCTGTCTACTGATGGATAAATGGATAAAGAAAATGAAATATTATTCACATAAAAAAGAAGGAAATCCTGCTATTTACAACAACATAGATGGACCTTGAGAGCATAATACTAAATGAAGTAAGAGAAAGACAAATACGGTAGGATCTCCTTCGTATGTGGAATCTAAAAATATTGAATCATAGAAAGAGAGTAGAATGGTGGTTGTTAGAGTCTAAGGAGTGGGGGGTGATGGGGAGATGTTGGTCAATGGGTACAAACTTCAATTTTCAGTATCTAAGGTACAGCATGATGCTATAGTTAACATTATATTGCATATTTGAAAGTTCCTATGAGAGTTGAGTTTTAATGTTCTCGCCATAACAACAAAATGGCAATTATATGAAGTGAAAGATGTGATAACTAACCTTATTGCACTAAACATTTGCAATATATATGTGTGTCAAATCATCACATTGTGCACCTTAAACTTACACAATGTTTTATGCCAATTATATCTCAATAAAGCTGGGGGGAAACCTCCAAATCTGTGGCATATAAATGCTGAAGTTTAAGAAACACTGAATTCTGAATCACCGTGCCTCAGGCAGAAGTGGACTGTCAGAAAACTCTTCTGTTGACAACCAGTGCTCTGAGCCTGTGGAGGTACTGTCACATCCCAGGGTTCACAGAACCCCTGCCTTTTCTGTCCCCCCCCCCCCCGTACCACACTTGTGATGCACTGCAACACCAAGCAGTGGTTTGACGAATGCTAGGGAAGATGGATGAGAATGACATGAAGAATGGAAGGTATACAAGGTATGAGTCTGCGTCCTCTGCCCTCTTTCACTCCTGTCCACCTTCTCAGTCTAATTTCGTTTACCTTTAAGAAGTTGAGCTGTGGACGATGTCATTTTCTTCAACTGCAGGCCCACATTTTTAGCTCTTGCGAGACATCCCCACTTGAATGCCCCATGGTTACCACCACTTCATATTCAGTATGTCCAAATACAAGTTCACTTTTCTCCCTCTAAATCTTCCCTTCTTTCTGTGTTGTACATTCCTCAGATTTTAGAAACTATGTAACAACATGTATCCACCATTACAGAACAGTACAGAATAGTTTCCCTGCTCTCAAAATCCTCTGTCCTTCACCCATTCGTCCCTCCCTCTCCTCTCCATCCCCCTGGCAGCCCCTGATCTTTTCATCGTCTCCGTCTTTTGACTTTTCCAGAATGTCATATGGTGGGAATCATATAGTTTGTAGCCTCTCCACACTGGCTTCCTTCACTAAACAGTGTGCATTTTAGGTTCCTGCATGTCTCTTTTTGTCTTGAGGACTCATTTTCTTTGAGCACTAAGTAATATTCCATGGTATAGGTGTACCAGTATTTATCCATTCTGATTTTTCTTATTTCTTATTTTGTATTTTTAACCCTCTTACATCTTTTAAGTCTAGTTTGTTTTCTCCCAGCTCTCCTTTGCCATTCCCAAAATAGGCTACCATGAGCATTTGTTCCCGGATACTTTCTCCGTCCAGAACATTCTACCTCTCGTCTCTCACTTCCATTTATTAAAATCCTGTCAGTTCTTCAGAGTTCAGATTAAATTTGCTATGCTGTTGTTTCATCTTTTTTTGATAGAAGTAACTGTTCCCTCTGGGTTCCCCTGCTCAACCACCAACACTATTTATGGTACTTCGTAGATGCTACATTGAAGTGTAGTTTTTAATATTTTTACTTTATTACTTCTAAATTATATGTTTATTCTTCTCAAGGAGAAAAACTGTTATATTTATTTTTGCAACCTCCATGATATATAACATAGTTTCTTACACATAGTTAAATAAGTATTTGTTAAAATAATTTGAACTCTTTAGCAGAAGATTGAATACCATTAAATATGAAACACACTGAGGAAGTTTAGACTGATGGACCTCTTCTGCATGCCAGTGGGCCATCTTTCTCTAATTCTCTGTGGTTTTTTCCTGAAAAAATGATAATATCATTCTTGGAGGCTGGAAACTAAAAGAACAAATATTTTCCAAGATATGGGCAATATTATAGCCTCAAACATACCTGAATTCCCACACTGTCTGAAAGGAGGATTGGTTAATAAAAGATAATATTCATGAAATAAATTCATGGGTGAGTGGAGAGATGAGCACTTGCAATATTAGGGGATTTTCTACAAAAGCCCCACATATAAAAATACCATGCCATGTTGTAAAACTGAATTCTGACTTTTTTGTTGTTGTTGGGGAAATATAAAACTATAGAACTCAATAACCCAGGATATAGAATTTGGCCCGTTGATTTCTATTTGATTTTCTCTTTCCTTTCTTTTCTCTGAGCTTGATTGGAAAAAATCTCCTAAGTGCTCAGTTTGGAAATGTATACTGTGTGGTCTTTAAGAGCCCAGGAACCTTAGCTTATTTATTTTATGTTTTCCTCTCCACAGAACCTTGCCCATAATTGATATAGGAAGGTGATACATCCTGAATCAAATGGAAATAAAAGTTGGAATTGCTTCCTACATTAAAACATTGTTCTATCAGATATTTTCCCCTCTTCTTCTCCCCTCACCTCCTGTCTTAGTTCAGGCTTCTATAACAAAGTACCATAGACTTAGTGACTTATACAGAGCAGAAATTTGTTTCCCACAGTTCTGGAAGCTGAAAGTCTGAGACCAGGGTGCCAAAATGATCAGATTCTAGTGAAGATCCTCTTCTGGTTTGTAGACTGGAGACTTTAGACTTCTCTGTTGTATCCTCACAAAGAAACCTAGCTAGCTCTCTGACCCCTTCTTATAAGGGCATTAATGCCATTCATGAAAGCTTCATTTTAATGGACTGATTATCCTCCAAAGTCCCCATCTCCAGTTGCCATCACATTGGGATTATGGTTTCAAATATAAATTTTGGGGAATACAAATATTAAGTTTATAACATGTCTTCAGTAGGATTTACATTAGGGCCAATCTCACTTACCCCAGAGATTTTAATTTTTGTAGTAAGTAATTTTGGAAAGGGCATGGTAGGCTCATGGACTGTGGCTGTACGGTGAAATTCAGGAACAGTGACCTCGGGAGGAAATACCATAAACACAGGACTGTGCGCGGTGTTTGAATCCATGATGGTGTTGTTGATATTTTGAAGTGTTAAATGATTTAGTTGGTACTTCAGTCTAGACCATGCTCTTCTCCTGTCCCGAGGTTGTCTGGAGCACTGGCATTGTTGTGCTTTGTCTTGGAATTATAGAACCACAGAGTCACAGTTACGGAATCTCAGGACTGGCCAGGATCTCAAGGTGAGTGAGTCAAAAGTCCAGGAGTGGGAAGAAGAAGACCTGCCTGGTAGTCCTTGTGCAGTCAGGCTATCACTGTGACCATGGGCAAGTCACACCCCCCTTCTTGATTTCACCTTTCTTCTATGTACATTGATCAGGTTGGACTAGTTGATCTATAACGACTTTTCAATTCCCAAACAGAAGAGTATTGTGAACATTTTTTTAGTTCTCTATCTTAAGGCTGGTAAAGGGCAAAACCCTTCAGGTATAATCTCTATTTAGCCTGCCAGTTTGGCAGGGGCTATTTTGGGGTGTTTTTTTGTTTGTTTGTTTTTCTTTTTCTTTTTTTTCCCATTTGACTTTATTAGCTTTAGCCATGAACAAATGACCCCAAAACTTAGTGTCTTCAAACAACCACTGTTTGATTTTGCTCACAATTCTGTGAATCATATGGGTGGTTCTACTGTTCTTGTCCAGCTCAGCTCTTCTTTGCCAGGTTTTCTCATGCATCTGTGGTCAAGTGGTAACGTGACCAGAGCTAGATGATTTAGTATGGCCTCCCCCTACAGATATCAAAATCCTCTGATGCTTAAGTCCCTTATATAAAATGGCATAAAACAATGCGTACATTTGCCCTCCACATCCATGGACTCCCAATCATGAATGGAAAATACTGTTTTGATCTGCGATTAGTTGAATCCACAGATGTGAAACTCGGCGATACAGAAGGCTGACTGGGTATTGAAGAAATCTATGGATAAGTGAACCTATGCAGTCTAAACCTGTGTTGTTCAAAAATAAATTGTACTTTGGTTTCATGAGTGACAAGGTAAGTTAATATATTAAATGAGAAAATAATACATCAAAACACATTGAGTCACTTTTTCTTCTACCTTTATCATTCATCAGGGGTGTCATAGGAAGAATTGTGGTCTCCCCAAATATTCCATTCCTTTATTTCCAGGACTGTGGAAATGATATCACACCCATGAATATGTTACCTTAAAAGGCAAAAGGAACTTTGCAAATAAAGTTACTAAATTTACTTTAAAATAGGGAGATTATCCTGGATTATATGAATGAGTCTAATGTAATCACAGAACCCCTTAAAAGTAGAAGTTTGAGAAGGACTTGACAAACCATTGCTGGACTGAAGATGGAGGGGACCACATGAGAAGGAACACAGGTGACTTCTAGGAGCAGAGAACGTCATCCCCCCATCCCCCACACAGCTGACAGCTGACAATGAAACCGACAGCAGCAAAGAACTGGATTCTTCCAAAAATGAGTGAGCCTGAAAGAGGATCCCAAGCCTCAGAACCACAGACCTGGCCAGTACTATGATTTTAGCCAAGTGAGACAGCAAATAACTAACCAAGTTATCCAGTACTTCTGACCTACAGAAACTGAGATAATAAATTTGTCTTTTGTTAAGCAGCTAAGTTTGTGGTAATTTGTTACACATACACATTGATAAAAGAAATAAAGATAAGACTCTGCCATTTTCAGCCTTAGTGACTATTATTCAGAGTAGGGTAACTTCTGTGACAAACAATTCCATGCTTTCCTTGGCCTAGTACTGTATAAGATTTCTCCCTTAGGTCACAATCCAACGAAATGTTTAGCACTGGATTTAATCTATGTGGTTATTTATGAACCAGGCTTAATTCTCTACAGATCTGAGCATCTCTGGGTCCTGGGTTTTCTGCATCTTATGAGTTCATGAGGGGAGAGAGACTATAAAAACAAGGCAAGGGTTTGCAGGCTCAAACCTGGAAGTGGTAAGAATCACTTCACCAACACTTCACTGGTGATAATCACCTTCTCACCTACTTAGATGCAAGGGGGCTGAAAAGTGTAATCTAGCTATGGAATATGTAATCCAGCAAATAACAGTGCATAACCAGCTCATTTCTCCCACAGGGCTTTGGGAATTGTAGGTATAAGGTAGTAGCATTGGAAAATAACCCTTCCCAATTTTTACCAAAAAAAAAAAAAAAGAGTCTAATTCTAGAAAAGACATATTATGTTTGGAATAAGATAGTTTTTAAAAATTGCATCACTTTTAAGTAAATAATAAATGCCCTGACCCTCCCAGAGCATTTGGCCCCTGGTCTTATAAACAGCTACTTCACACATTAATATTCCCTTATTGGCTCCTAAACACATCTGATTTTGTCAACTGTAGACCCAAACTCATTGATGGGACAGTATTAGGTATCTCAGAAAGAGGAGGTAAGGGAGAGAGTGCCTGAAAATCTGAGAGAGAAATGTGGGATTCCTGTAGATTGGAAAGGTGACTAAGAGTCTGGGGAGTACGAGGGGCTCCTGAGTTGCTCCCTAGTGTCATTCCCACTGAGATGGGAAAACCTCAGAAATGATGGCTTTAAAAAATATTTTTACATTTTCACATTGTGAGTTTATACCCTACAAGGTAACTGTATTCTTACAATTTCAGGGAAAAAGCCCTGTGTTCCAAGTGTGGTACATACAGAAGCATCAAGTTCACAGGACACATAAGGTCAATGTGAACTGGGACAATGAGTTTCTCAGTGGTAAGTGGTGTGGACTTGTCAGTGAAGACAGGAATCATCTCTCCAAGGACTTAGCACTGTTTGAGACCCCAGAACCCTTGTGCACGTGTGCATCAGTGTGTATGTGTGTGTTGGATGGGTATGGGACTGAATGGGCAGGAAAGACTATGTGGGCTGGATTCTCAAAGAATTTGATTAAGAAATGCAAATATGCATTTCCTGAACACCTGAGTTTGTGGACTGAAAGTTAAAGCCCTTATACAAGCACCTTACCAACCCATGCAAATCTAGCAAAAGCAAAAGGGGAAATGATTAGTATTATTCAGAGTAAGTGGAATACAAAGTGGCCATCATTTAGGAACTGGAGGCAAATTCACGTACAGCTTGTACCAAGGTCAAACAACACTGGGTAGCTCAGAAGGCTAACCCTTACTACAGAGGCAAAGACAGAGAACAGATAATCCATCTCTCCAGCTCTGTGCCTCATTATTCTACTACACATGACTTCACTCATCTCTAGGTGTTCAGGCTCCCATTCATGCTTTTAAAAAATGATTAATTGAAGCAAGCCTTTGTGCGAAATTCTGTTGAGAGATATGACACAGTGTGGGCTTATTCTCAAGAATATAAGAGAACTACAAGAGTGTACATGATTTCAAAAAAGAAGGAAGTTGGTGACAGGTCCTCTAGAAATACTTATTTTAGACTTTTTTGAAACAGGGGAAGGAAAACACAAAAGACAACAAGGGTGACGAATACTGCAGAAAGAAGAGATGGGGAACAACTTCAACTGTAACAAAGGGATCAATGACAAAGAGGATCAGAAAAATGTAACTAGGCTTGGAAGATGGAGGATAACTGATAGATTTCATTTACACAATTTTCTCTGACCACTGAGAGTGAAATTATATGTCATAAAGGCTGAGAAGTTAGAAGCAGTGAATGCAGGCATATGGAAGGGGGCCAGAGAATCACTCAATGGATAACAGTCTTTTGTACTTTCTTTGATGGCACCTGCATTCTCTACCCTCCTCTGTGTCCTACTTCCTTGACTCTCCCTAGGCCACATTCTGTCCTCATTTCCACATGACCCTATTAATAAGTGAACAAACATAGAGTATATATTCTCAACACAGATTTGGGGGTGAGGGATTAAACTGGGTGATTAGAAACAGCAAAACAGAGGAATGGAGGAATTTATTTTTATCCATTGCTGACTCTTTTGGTTCTTGAGCCTTTAAAGAGCCTACATAGGCGTCTTCCTTGATGATGGACTAAGTTCCTATTACACACAGAGGATAAGGAAAGAAATGTCAGCACCATAGAAAAGGAGGTCTGTTAAGTATTAGGTCGTAAAACAATTGCTGATCATAAATCGAGACACTAACATGATGATAAAGAGCTTATATGTGAATTATTCCTTTATCCTCAGAAAGCTCTGAAACAGTATTAATATTTGTTGTCATTTTATTTTACTTAAGGACAAATCCTTTGAGTTTTCTCCTTGCCCTTCATTTTCTGGTGAGTGAATAAGGTGCAACAGCATTTGAGAATATAGGTTGGAGGCAACTAAAGTGTTTTTCCCTAATCTGGTTCCATAATTGGGAGCAGTGTGGTATTTGGGTTGATTCTGCAAGTTAGTCAGAGTCTTCAGATTGCTGTTGATCCTTTGTATAAAATGAGGTTAAAGTTGAGCTAATTGAAGTGTTTTGTTGCACGTCTTGCACATCTTGTTCTGAACCTACATTCGATGAATAGGTGGAAGATGCATCTTGTACTGAGCTTTGGCAGGAGGAATGAGGAAAATCTGACTTCATGTCTTCTGATTGTGGGTCGCTTGGGGTTTTGCATAGACTTTTCATGTCCACTAGTTTGAGGTCTTTTCTTTGTATAGGGACTATTTGCATATTTTCTTTTGGGATACCTGTGGATCGAAGGTCTGGTTGGTTCTTATCTTGATACTGACTGTCTGGAGATACAACGTCTTGTGATTGCTGATCAAGGTGATTTTGAGGTATAGCATGCAGAGTTTGGGTTTTGTATAGAACTTTATGCTTTAGGAATTCTTTCTCTAATAGATCTTGAGTTTGCCAGGCTTGGGATTCCCAATTTAGGGAACGCTTCATTTCAAATTGGCATTCTTGTGCTTTACAATCTTTGTTTCTCCATCCTTGACTCTCCCAGTCTTGGGATTGTTGACCTAAAGGTTGCCAGTCTTGGTACTTCTGGATTTGGGATTGCAGATGTTGACTTAGCTGCTCTGGGGATTTCTCATCTTGGGCCTGCAGGTCTTTAGCTTGTTTCTGTTGGCTTTGTCTCTTGGGAGATTTCTCCTCTTCGCTCTGCTGGTCTTCACTTAGCCTGCTTTGGGATTGTTGTTTTAGGGATTGTTTTCCTTGAATGAGCTGGTCTTCAGCTTGCTGATCTGAGACTTGCTTATCTATGGAGTGCCTCTTTGGGTATAGCCAGCCTTTGATATGCTGGTCTAAGGATTTCTTCCTTGGGAATTGCTGGTCTTGGGTTGGCAATTCTAGGAATTTCTTTGTTGAAGATTGCCAGGCTTTGTGTTGCTGGTTGAAGGAATGCTGCTTGGTGGATTTCCTGCTTTTGTGTGTCTCATATTTCCATTCTTGGGTCAGCAAATTTACTTCTGTTTGAATGTCTTGATATGACAAATGTGTAAATTGCTGGTCTTCATGTTGGATGTTTTGTAGATGAAGATCCAAGAATTGCTGTTCCTGGTGTTGTTCACTAAGGGCCTGTGCAGCATGAAATGTTTGGTTTTTAAATTGCATGGTTTGTATTGGCAAAACTTGTACTTGGGAAAGCATGTTTTGGGAAGGCATGTTTTGAGGTAATGTGTCTTGGGATGGTGTGTCTTCAGAAATCAGGTCATAAGACTGTGTGACATGAGATGTTAGGGCTTTACATAGCAGGGCTTTTGTTGGCAGAACCTGTACTTGGGAAAGCATATCTTGGGAAGGTGTGTCTTGAGATGATGTGTCTTGCGATGTTGTGTCTTGGGATTTTGTGTTTTGGGATGGCATGTCTTTGGATATCAGGTCATGAGACTGTGTGATATGGTGTGTCGGGGCTTCAGATATCAGGGCTTGTAGTGACAGAGTGTCATATGGCAAGTCATAGGGTGGTAACACTTTAAGATTTTTTACAGAATGGGATGGAAAAACTTGGAGTGACAAGGTTTCAGCTTGCAGCAATTGTGTTTGCCTTTCTGGGGGATGATCAATAGCAAATTGTAGATCTTCATCATTTATTTGCTCAGTGTATGCACTATCTCCTGAAATCATATTCTCTAATATGGGATATGGAGGTTCCAGCTCAATTTCTTCCTCATTATATTTAGAAGGGAGAGGGATATTTTTCTGTTGTTCATCTGACCCAGATGAAGAAGATGTGTAGTAATTATTACTGCCTCTTTTCCATGAATGATGGAAGGTTAAAGGATTTCTTGAGACTCTTAACTTGAAGAAAGTATAGCCTCCAAAGAAAACAGGTTGTATGATTGTTGACAAGTCATTTCTGTTAGACTCTTCTTGAAGGTCCATTTGTATTACAGCATTTTCTTCATGGATAGATAATTCACTCTTGTGAGCAACATCCAAAGGCAAGAAAAACACAATCTATAAAAACAAAGGGTGAGGGAAAATTAGTATAAGTCATTTTTGGTGTTCTTTTCTTCTTGTATTCCCAAAATGTTTTCATCTCTGCCTTAAGACAGTAGATAGTGTGAATTATCTACAAGAAAATAGAGAAGAAAATCTTTACAATCCTGTTATAAGTAATAAAAAACTTGTTTTCTTACTCCTCACCAGGAATAAGTTTTCCTGGTGAGGAGTAAGAAAACAAGTATCAGTACTGCCCTTACCATCAACTCGTTTTATTTTAGACAAGTCATTACCCTCTGTTATCTCAAATATTGACTAGGGGAATTTGATTAAGATAGTCTGAACGTCATTATATACTTAACATTATAAAACTTCTAAGGCATTTTAAATTATCCAGCCAATATTTGTATATTCAGGTTTATTTATTTATTGATCACTTATTAGATGAACTAAATGCTGGAAATCAAAGATAACTAAGATAACCAAAAATAACCAAAGATAATCAAAGGTAACCCCAAAGATGTGGGTTTTGCCCACAAGGTGCTCATTCCAAAACTAGATAACAATATAGTTTAACAAATGCTGTTATGTAAATAACTAATAGGTGCTTTATGGGAATATAGAGGATAAAAGAATTCTGAGAAAGCCAGGAAATGCTTCATAGGGGAGGTGATATTTGATCTATATCTTGATGAGTAGTAATTCCTCAGGCAAAAAGGTAACATGAAGTAAGACAGGAGTGAAAAACCAGAAAGAGAAAACAGTGGATGCAAAAACATAAGGTTGTAGTGCAGCATAAGGTGATGGCAGATGGTAAGCAGGTAGATATTGTTAGGTGGTATGCTAGGTGCTATAAACTAAATGCTTCTATGTGTAACAATGGCTAGTTGGAAAATAAAACTTTAAAATACAATGTAAATTGTCAGAAAAATCATGAAATACTTACGATAAATTTAACAAACCATGCACTGGACTTATCTACTAAAACCTACAAGATACTGCTAAGAGAAATGAAATGAGATGTAAGAAAATGTAGATGTATTCAATGGACATGAATAAAAAGATGACCATATTTTGCCGAGTATAATGTGCCCCTGTGTGTGTGGCGCACCCATGGTTTGGGCCCACACTTTCCGGAAAAAAATCTTTTGTTTTAATTTTTTTTCAATTATTTATATGTAGAAACAAAACTGATTATCATATTCCAGGGTATTATTTTATATATGGATATGATTATTGCTTTCTAGAGTTACATTTTTAATGTATAAGCATAAATAAAATAAATTTAAAAATTTATGGAGATACTGAACTAGCACTACCCATGTATAATGTACATCCTTATTTTTCCCTTAAATATTTGGGCAAAAAGTGTGCATTATACACAGCAAAATGTAAGTATTATCAATAAGTAAAATTTTCCTAAATTATTTATAGGTTCAATTAAACTCCAATCATAACCCCAGCATATAATTTTGTGTTTTGTGGTACAGAGTTTGTATTGAGATGATGAAAAAGTTTTGGGCATAAATAGTGATGGTGATTATATTCATTAACAGTCTATTTAATGCCACTGAATTGTATTCATAAAATGGTTAAAATGATAAATAATATGTATATTCTACCACAACAAGAAGGAATTACTCTAAAGCTACAGAGGTTAAGACACTGTGAGATATGTGGAAAGAGAGATACATAGATCAATGGGACAAAATCAAGTGTCCAAAAGAGGCCTATAGATAAGAGGTCAGTTGATTTTCACAAAGTTGCCAGGGTAATGGAGGAAAATATTGCATTTTCAACAAATAGTGTTGAAACTCTCCATGGTGGAGGGGGACAGGGTGGTGTGCTCATGACTATCTAACCTTACCTCACAACTACACATAAAATTTAACTCAAAATATATTATAGTCTTAAATATAAAAGCTAAAACTGTAAAACTTCTACAAGAAAATAGAGAAGAAAATATTTATAATCCTGGTATAAGCAAACTTTTGTTAGAACATAGAAAAAACTAATCATAAAAGAAATCATAAAGTGCCCATTATGCAATTTGTTATTTGAAAGAAACTATCAAGGAAATGAAAGGCAAGAGAAGGCTGGGAAAAATACTAGCAATACATAAATCTCACAAAAAGGCTTACTTTTAGAATAAGTTATAACTCATTCTTATTACACAATAAAATAATGCAATACAAGTTGACTAAAAATTTGAACAGACACATCTCAAAAAAAGATATACAGATGGACAATAAACACAGAGATAAGGTCTCATCATCATTTGTCATCAGGAAAATGCAAATTAAAGCTATGATGAACACTAAATACTCACTAGAATGGCTAAATTATTAATACAACTGACAATTCCAAGTGTTGGGGGTTATATGGAGTACTTGTACCTTTCATATGTTGCTGATAAGAATGCAAAATGGTACAGTAACTTTGGAGAACTGTTTAGCATTTCCTTATAAAGTTAAACAGCCACTTTCCATATGACCTAGCAATGAAATCCTAGACGGAACACTCCAAGAGACATGAAAATATCCGTCCACACAAAGGTGGGAGCACAAATACCCATCACAAAGTAAATGGATAAACAAATTGTGGTGTATCCTTACATAAAAGGAACAAACTATTGATACATGCAACAGAATGGATGAATCACATAACATGTTGCTGAATAAAAGAAGCCAAACACAAAGACACTTACATAAAATTCCATGTATAGGAAGTTTGAGAAAGTAATAACTGAAAGAGGAGATGAAGATAATTTGACTGCAAGAGAGACTCCTGGGAACCTTTTGGGGCGACAGGAGTTCACTACATTTTGGTTGTGATGGTAGCTAAACTAACTAAACTACCATCACCACTTATTGAATAATACACTTAAAATTAATGCATTTTAATGATTTTAAATTATAATTCTATAAATTTGATGTAAAGAAATGGGGAGGAACTGCTAACACAGGGCTTAGAATTGTTGTCAGGATATAAAGAGAACAAGGAACCACATGACTTGAGTTGGATTCCTGATGTTATAAGACACTGGAGGGGTTACTGTTTATGCTTTAGTTCTGTTATATGTAAAATAAAGGTGTTTTAATAGTTTTGTTAAGATTGAGTAAGTTGGTGCTAAGTGATTATAACAATGACTGACTGACACGGCATTAAGTAAATGTAATCTCTAATGATTATTAAAAGTCACATTAACATCACTGCTAAATATTTTTCTTCTCTGCTTTCTCTCTGGTGAGCAAATTGCCTCACACACCCTTATGACCCAACTATAAGCTCCTCATGCAACAGTAATATGAGCTCCTATTAAGTCCTGTCTTTTATATATTTTGGCAGAGAGATAAAGAGCTATTGAATGACTGAGGATAGCAGACAGAGCGAGAAAAAGTAGTATAGTTGTCTCAAAGGCTAGAGTGGGCCTTCAATTTTAAGCTTGTACCTCCTTCACCTTCCTACACTTAAAAGTTTTAGTTCAGCATCTGAGAATATTGCTCTGTCCACTGATAGGCCAGGCATCACCTTGGAGTGTCCCAATGGGAATCCATCCTCATAACAACAATTGAACACACCTCATTTGACTTGGTCCAGCACTTGCTTCTAAAGGAGGCTATAGTCACAGAGATGCTGAGCTCTACCAAGCTGAGGATCAGTAAGACTGACAAAATGCCCTGCAAAACAATAAGGATAAATAAATGGCATTTGGGATGAAAGCTGTTTCATTTTACAGATATAAGCCCAGGACCACTTACATTGTCTCACTAAGTAAAGCAAAACCGATGTTGTAGAAGTTTCCATAGCCATCAGTGATTGAAAAATTTTCATCTTATGTCTTCCTGATAAGTAGGGGAAACAAACTCCAATGTCTACAGAGGCCAGGCAACCATCTTAAATGACTTAAACAGGTAGAAAAGGAGATGGCAGAGAGTAAAGGTATTTCTAGGATTCATCCACTACTCAGTTTCAGGCAATAGTTACCATGTGGGAACATGGGCCTCATGAGGCCTGCTCTTTATTTTTTCCCCTAAGAAAGCCTGATACACATATTTTTAATGTGAAATTTTCCAGTTATTTATTTACTTGTGTAAATGAACTAGAACATATCTTCAGGATGAATATAGTCCACAGGCTTCCATTTTGCACACTCTGCTTTAAAGTAATGCTTAGATTGAGAAGCAGCATGGAATAGCATGGCATCCAAAAGGCATAGACTCTGGAGACAGAAACAGCTGGTATAATTAGGTCCAAAGTTACACTTAACCTTGGGCAAGTGACTGAGTCTAACTGAATCTTGATTTTTCCACAACACAATCAAAAGCTTGGATATACCTTGTTTGTTGGTAAACAAATAGGTATGAAGTACCTACTGTAAATTTACTGGTTTCAGCTGGTGTACAAGAGATACCTGGTTTTGGTCTTTGTGGAACTTCTATCATAGGAAGGAAGGAAGACAGTAATAAATAGGCTATTATTTACTCAATTAAATTGTGTTAGGTGCTGTGAAAAAGTATTGGGAGCTATGCATGACTATCATGGGAGATCTGACCAAGTCTGCACTGGGGAGGGTAGAGCTGCAATCAGGAAGGGCATCCTTAAAAAAGTGATGTTTAAACTGAAATTAAGGAATGAGGAGGGATTCACTGAGTAGGTGGTAAAAAGTAGGGGAGCATCTGGGGAACATTTGAAGCAAGGACAAGCTGGCCTTATGGCCCTGGGACAGTGAGTATTGATACATTAAGGAATTTCAGAAAGCGGCAGGAGAATGGAGTGAGAAAGATAAAGGCCTGGAATCACATCAGGAAGGTAGACAGGATAAGTTCTATAGGGTCTCATAAGCTTTTTAAGACTGGGGTCTTAACTCTGTGTTTAACAGGAAGCCATTGACTAATATCCTCAGAGTCACCTGTGGAAGTATAGACTGAAGTGTTGAAAACAGATGATCTTTGGAACAGAAGTTAGTCCAAGGAATGTCTAAAGCCCACTGCTCTGGCATTTTTAGTTTACGATGTGTGTGTTAGAGCAAGGAATTGTGGAGTTATAGAAGCAAGGTCTTTTTGATTCTGTACGCAGAAACTAATCCTGCAACACCTGACCATGTGGGTCAGGGAGTAGACAGTTTCATTTATATGGAGGTTTAACCTTTTCAGTATGTAATTTCTTCCTGGTTTATACTAATCTTCAGTACTGGTGCTCTGTCCACTAGGAAAAGGGTAAGGATATAGTGTCATATAATATTCTTGGCCTAATTAGGGCAGAATTTTTATCTCTTATATTGATTGATCTCTCACTTTCTTAAGGAACTTTTCATGAGTCTAAGTCTGGAATTTATCTCAGAACATATGAGAACATCCTTAGGCTCACTTTAATGAGTGATTGTGAGAATCAAATAAGATCGTATATTGAATAACTAATAACTCTTTTTCCTTTCCCTCTTCTTTGGGGGAGACAATTTCTCAAGATTCCACTTCACTTCCATCCAAAATGGTTAAATCTCATTAACAATCTAGGACCAAAGCTCTCAAGACATGGCTGGTAGACAGAGAATGAAACCTCAGGATTTGCTTGGGGAAGTAAAGAGAATGGCCTTTTGGATTTATTAACACGTGTAAAAATAATCTCACTGAGTACTTTGTAGATAAATACATAAAGTTACACCTACAATTATAATTACTGGTAAAGATACAGCTCATCTGCTTTAATGAATAAAACGGTCACATTTTGTGTACAATGGTTTATCTTCTAAAATTATTAAAATACTTTATTAAACCCTGGCTTGTGCGGCTCAGTGGACTGAGTGCTGACCTGCAAACCAAAGGGTCACTGGCTCAATTCCCAGTCAGGGCACAAGCCTGGGCTCCATGCAGGCAGGGTATCCAGAGTGGGGTGCTCAAGAGGCAATCACCTGTTGATGTTTCTCTCCCTCTCTTTCTCCCTCCCTTCTCCTTTCTCTAAAACTAAATAAAATCTTTTAAAAAATAAAATAAAAGACTTTATTAAGTGACTTAAACACCTTCTCCCACTGTATTTTGTTTTTAGCATTGAGTAAACTTTTTAAATCATTCTGCTCCTCATTCATGCTGAAAAGGTAAAATTTAATATAATCCATGTCAACCTTTATGGTAATATTTAAAATCTGTTGACTTTGAACACTGTACCAGGTAGTAATTTAGTTTAAGTAATCCTCCCAACAACCTATTGAGGTAGGCATTCTTATTATCTTCATTTTTCACATGAGGAAAACTGAGGCTCAGAGAAGACAAAATGTTAGGCCAGGGCTACAAACTTAAATGTGACCAGGATTTCAAGACCAGACACTGTGGCTCTTGAACCACAACATACTTTTCAACAGTCAGTTCAAATGCAGACACAATGCCAACTATTGAAATTAAAATTTATGGATCAATGCATCATGAATGTCTCAGATAAGATTATACAGATTTCATTGTACAGAACAAGACCACTTACATTGAAAAGGATTCGACCTATAACACATATTCCTTCAATGGAAGGCACTTTGCAGTACTGGTGCTGATATTGAAAGCTGATAATGGTGAGAGTAATCCCAGCCACCGCAGCCAAAGAACTGATCACATTCATGGCCATGACACCTTTCCCCTGGGAAAGTTTTTAAAAATGATAAAGACAAACAGTTTTAGAATGAGCCAGGAAGCCAAGAAAGAGAATGGGTAGAGGAGTGTGCTCTGTGGTTAATGCTTAAGAAAATGTTCTCCATCTATGAGTCTGTCCCCATTTTCCTTGTTAGCTCAGTTTGTTCATTAGATTCCACATATGAGTGAAATCATATGGTATTTGTCTTTCTCTGACTGGCTTATTTCACTTACCATAAGGGGACTAAATGGTAATGAAAAAAACACAACAAAGATTACATTTAAAAAAAAAATATTCCCTTTATCCTGATGCACCACCTTTCACAACTGATGAGCAAAATAGTGTGTTAGAAATGATCTTGACCTTGTAATCAAACCTGATTTTGACTTCTAGTGAACTATTAATAGAATGTCATACAAGATAGTTAATCTCTTGGAGTCTCAATTTCTACCTTTAAACATGAGAGTGATGTCACCTGATTTTAAGGTAGTATCTGTTTATTCCCCTATTTTAATAAATATTTAGTGTGCACCAGCTATGTGTCAGACACTGTATTAGGCCCTTGGGACACAAAGGTAAACAGGGTAGATGAGGTCCTGCCTTCATGTGGCTTAGATCCACTGCCCAAGGGGGATTCACACAGTGGCCTATCAAATCATTAACATAGTTTACAGATGGTAACAAATTTGGACTGGGGTTTAAAGGTTCCCTTTCTTGAGCTCAGTGTACCAACATGGAACATATAAGTTCACATGGACCCACCCAAATGCCTTTACTCATTTCTCCCCCTCGCTTTTTTTTTTGTTTGTTTTGTTTATATGTCTGAATCACTTTGAAGGCAGGGGAATATCTTCCTTTTAAAGGAAAAAAAAAGCAAAGAAAAATTGCATATCTCAATTTAGTAGGTACAACCAAAAATGTCATCAAACATTGTCAAGTACCCTCAGGAGGATGGGAGCATGGCAGGGGTGGAGGTGGTGAAGGGGCCACAAAATCACTCCCAATTAAGAACCATTGAGTTAGAGCAATAGCTTTCAAACTTTTTCATCACATAGTGCATATAAACTACTCAAATTCTAAAAAAAAACATATTTTTTGCCAAGTTGACAAAAATAGTGGGTATAATTTTGATTCATTCACACTGACTGCTTTGTTGTGTTGACTGTGGTTGTTTTTATTTGACAATCTAAGAGAAAAGAGGTCAATGCCCCTGACTAAATAATCAAGTCTTGCATGTTTTAAAAATTCTTGTGGCACATCAGTTGAAAATTGCTGAGTTAGAGTAATGTAGGAGGGTTTTTAATAAGAACCTCTTTCAGTTTAGTTGACTAGGGTAACAAGAACCAGTGGAAGGATGTAGGGCTAATCGTGACACTGAGAAATAGCAGTGACTTGAACTGAAAATTTGACGTGTAAAGATTTTCCTAGAAGGTCCTAGGTTACTAAAGACTTTGTACACAAAAATGAGGTAAAGCAAGAAGATTTAAAATTATAAAGAAGTCACAAAAGTGACTTACCAGACATTCTTCCTTCTTGTTGAATCCTGTGACATATCCTGCAATAATAAACTTTTAAGAAGAAATGAGACAAAAGTTAACAAGTGATGGATTTGACCGCATTACAATATAATTCACATTGGAGGTTATATTGTGATCTATATGTCCGTGATTCTCCCAAACCAATCTGCCTACCTGGGCATCAGAGGAAGAGGGCAGCACTGATATGGGAAATGCTGTGCCGGCTGTGCACCGCACTGACAAAGGCCTCTTAGTGAAGGACAGCTGGGAGAGGCAAGGCCCTCTTTGAGGTCCAAAGGACACCACTCAGATGTTTGGCCCAGCTGGGCTCCAAAAATAAAGATAATCCTGGGATCTGGGTCTGGAAAAAGGGGAAGATGAGCTGCTGAGCAGAAGGAAGGAAACTTTCTCAGGGCAGACCTCTCCAAAAGGTGATATGAGGACTGGAATCTGATAATGATCTCAGCCACTTCTTATTTTTTTTTAATTGAATAAAGATTTTATTATACCACACATACAGTGAGAAACTGGTACAGAAAAGGCCATTTTTGGTTATTTTGTTGAGAATTTTTTCCCATAACTTCTCCCATTATAGTTCTCAAAGCAATCACCAAGACAAAGGAAACATTAATTAGCTCATTTTCTTCAGGTCCAAGAATGCTGAACAATTACTGTCTCATCTGTAGTTATATAAGCAGTGAAATGAACACAGTTTATATTACTTAACTATCTTTGAACTCCAAGAACTGTTGAGATCTTTCCAGCAGATGCTTGTACAGCATTAGGATGTTTGTCAAATGTGGTAGTTACTCCACAGATGGCAGTTTTTAGTGATGCTCTAAATGCAAATCCTAATGTTTTATAAGAGGTATCCACAAGGGTTCCTGAAATCCAAGGTGGTTTACTGGAAACATGATGAAGCTTGAAGTACTTGTCAATTGTCTCTTGCAGCATCAACAGAACACTAAGAATTGCTGGTCGTGTCATCTGGACAACTCCAAATCTATCTTCTGTAAATGATGCTGCTACTAAGTGAGATAGACCTTCCAATGAGAAAACAACCTGAATAGAGGCCTCTTGGTGCTTACTGAAAAAATACATTATCAGCATCCATTTTGATAAGAAATTCTTACTCTGTTCCTGTTTATTCTGAATCCATGAATAATCACACTGGGCTGTCTCATTGCCTTGCTCTCAGCACTAACAGTAGATGGAAGATTAGAAAATTCATTCATTTTCTGATTAGAAGCAGAAGTACATAACCTTGGCCCTCTTCCTATCAGCTGAGAACTTTGAGGTGACCCATAGCAGGTGTTTACATAAAAAATTCCAGCTATCTGATTCATTACACTAAAGCCAAACAGGGACCTAAAGGGTCTTGCAACATTGGGTGTAGAAGGCCAAGGCATCTGGCTAAATTTCAGCGTCCAAAAAGTAGTTTCTTCTGGAGAATTCAATTTCTTAGGTTCCACTGGGTATGATGAAGACATCAAGAGAACCAGTTTCTTAGTCATGTCGTTTAGAAGATTCAAACACTCCCTGGAAATGGCTGTCCAGTTGTGGGAATGTCCACCTCATTGGCTTCTTCTTGTCTTCATGAAGAAGAACATTGAGAAAGCAGAGAAAACATCAGGTCCTGCAAAGCCAAATACTTTATGATGAAGTGGGGCTTGCTGTTTAAAACTTTCGGGAGGCCTTCACCTGACTCTTCTGCAAATGGTGGTTGAACAAGGAACAGATGAGCCTCTGTGGCATATATTTTGAAGAGTATCCATGAGATGTACCAAGTCATCAGGAGAAAGACTCCACATAACCAGATGTGGCAGAGTAATGAGAGATACAAGAGGCCCCTCACAGTATCAAGAGGTCTATGAACTTGCTCATCTATCTGAAGGTCCATAGCTGTGCTAATCCAAGCTTTGGGAATATAGCCAAGAGAGTAATACACAATGCAGAAATTTTTAATCAAGAGCAGTGATGCCATATAACTGTTTAACTACTAAGAGCAAAGGTCTCCTAAAACACAAAAACTTGTATTGCTGTATGGTGGGAAATGGAAGATAGTTCATGTTAAGAAAATACAAGAGGCGTAGTTATAGCCCATAAATGCTCCAGCCAGTAGGAAAACAAAAGTGATATTTATTTAAGCAGGTTTTTGCAACAGGGTCATCTGAGCTCTCAGTATCAGTGCAGGAAACCACAAGAAAACTGCATTGGCCCTTGGTTATCCCTGCAGCATGCCAAGCTGCCATCATTCACATTGCGGCGTGAATAAATGAGTGCATGAACTACTGAGGATAAATGATCTCCCTTATCAGTGCCAGTTTGGGGCAGTGGCGGGAAGGCACAACTTCATAGAACTCCACATAGAAAATACTCATTATTATTATTACTACTGAGAGCAAGAAGAAGTAAAAAATTACACAGAAACTATATAGATCATTGAAAGAAGACAGCCACTCTATAGGATGAAATGAATTGATGCTGGTGAAGATTATAACTACTGTGGTACAGATGGGTACAAGTAACACTGGCCAGACAATTCTTACAACTATCCTCCAGCCCAAAACATGCCACAAGATGTTCCATGACACCTATGTGCCAAACACTTTCCTGACCTCCCAGGTCAGGTACATTCTCCATTAATCCCTCACACAGTGCTCCTTTCTTATACATGGCAGAGTAATGAGAGAATGTGGTATGTGTAGTTTGAAAATCATATTTAATATTATACTACTTGTATTTGGAAGTGAAAATGCTGAAATGCAGTTTATAAAAATTGCATGGAATATTTATGTTCATCGAAAGAGCAGGATTAATGGAGACAATAGTCTCATTCATTTTTCATTTCATATATTTATTCATTGAATGATGCATTCATTCACACTTACTGTACTTGAAGTATGAATCTACATCCTGAGAATATAATAATAACTAAGACAATATTCTTGCCCTCTTGGGAGTTTGTGTTCTAGTGGGGGGAGTTCTAATTAGTCTACCTTTAAATATTGTGACGCAAGAATAGGCACCAAGCCTGTGGGGATTGGCTGGAAATAGCACTCCACTAAACATGTTATTTATGGCTCTATAATTAAGTAGATGAATGACACTCAAAAAGTTGTCTTTCAGAATATCAAGGGGACTGAACCATAATGATCATCTTAAAATTCTCCTTAAGCTATGAGAGTCTGTGATTCTATGAGTGCTAGCTAGATATTGGGTTGTCCAAAGAGTTCATTTGGGGTTTTTTTGTAAAATGGCTCTGGTAGTCCTTAGTTGTCTTTAACTTTATTTGAGACAGTTTTGTTAGACTGTATTGTGACAGCTGTCATATCAGTACGCATTTTTAAAAAACATCAAATTTGGTGATTTTTCTGTAGCCATTTTAATATTGAAGAGAGAAGAATATATGCAACATTTTTGGCATATTATGTTTTACTATTCCAAGAAAGGTAAAAATGCAACTGAAATGCAAAAAGAAAAAAGATTTGTGCAGTGTATGGAGAAGGTACTGAGACTGAGCAAACATGTAAAAAATGATTTGCAAAGTTTTGTGCTGGAGATATCTCTGTGGACAATTCTCCATGGTTGGGTAGACTAGTTGAAGTTATTAGAGATCAAAATGAGACATTAATTGAGAACAATCAACATTATACAATGCAGGAGACAGCTAACATACTCAAAATATCTAAGTCAATAAAGCTATTGGTGAAAATAAAAATATGTCTTTTATTTTACAGGAAACCATATGGACTTTTTGGCCCACCCAATATGTTTAAGTTAACTCCTCTCAAACTCAGTTTCCTTATTTGCAAAGGGAAAAGCAAGATATCCATTGGTCTAATCTCCCAGATTGATAGAAAGGAGCCAATGCCTTGTTACACACTCTAGGGCTTTGGAAACAAACACTGCACACCTCTGAGGAACTAGTACTTTGATGATGGCAGTGCAGTGACTAAAAGGAGTGACTTCTCTTCCCATGAAAGGTCTCCTTGGGGGTCTTATTCAGGTAGTTCAACCAGTCTTTATAATAATTTCTCTAAAGTTCTTGACAATACTCACGATAAGTGCTCCCCAGAATGGATATCCTGTGAAGAAAACAAGTGGAAATCTTTGGGAATATCTGAAGAAATTAAATGCAAATATAGTTCCAATGCTCACAATGATCAAGGCAAGCAGGATCTGGATAGCCTGCGAGGAGAGAAATGGGTACATGAGGTCACAAGCGCCCCAGCGTCTCTGGCCTTGCTCTCACAGGTCCCTTGGGCTTCCCTCTAAGCCTCCGTGACACTTTCCTCTATCTGAATGCCTTCCTCTTTCCATTGACCAATGACTTTCAGTTTTCAAAAGGCCCATTATTTCTTTCCCCATCACACTTGCCTGGGTCCTTCAGGTTCAAATGCTTTACTCTCATCCATCACTACTTGCTATATCCCCTGGTGTTACCAATTTGTCTTGTATCAGACAAATTTGAGTATATGTCTGATTCTACCTATAGATTACAAACTTCCTAAAGACAGAGACTGCAAACTATTCACCTTTAAATTTTTTCCCTTTTATACCACCAGCATCCTATTATCCCTGCTCCCCAACACACACATTTTCCATATTCACGGTTTGCTTTTGGGATTGCAGCCCAGCCCAGTTCTCTAAAAGTTCATGAGGTTCACTGGTGCAGAGTGGAGAAGCTGGAGTGAGGTCATGTTTCATCTCTTCATGCAATGGCCTGACTGGAGTTCAGAGTAACCTAGTGGGCTTTTCGGTCTTCAGGGAGGGGAACTCCATGGTGGTCCTCCAGGGCCAGTGGCTCTTCTCAAGGCAGAGCTGCTCCTCCAGCATTCTGGGCTCTGTCCCCAGGCTACACCTCTGTGTCACAGTGCCACAAGTAGTATTTTACTCTTGTACTAAGAATGGCGGATTGCATACAGCTGCCTTCAAAGTACATGCATGACTGTAATTGTTTTTATGTGGATTAATTGGTTTTAATTGACTTTGTGGCTCACTATGGAGCACTGAGTATGGTTTTCAAAGACCCCCCAATGCCTGTAACAGTGCAAAGGGGAAGTTTAAACTCTAATGGCTTTTGCTCCACACTTGAAGAGCCACCACACCCTGAGATCACCTGCTCAATTAAGTATTTGGAAAAATTACACCAGTTTCCTGCACCTCCTCTGTTGTGATTCAAAGACCAGGACTAGCTCCTCTTGAAACAACCATAGGATTTCCTCAGGGTTACAGGAGTTAATAATTATAGTTGAATATTCTATTTTTCAGAGTTAAATGAGCCCTCAGAAACATTCCTAAGACATGAAGCAAACTGTGCGTGTTTCTAAATAGAATTTTTATTTCTCTTGTTTATCAAAAATCTAGGGAAATGATATTGGCTACACATTGGCTCTTCTACTCATGAGCCAATTATTTGAACAAGCAAATGACTTTAAAGTATTTATGATTAATCAAGAAGGATACACTATAGTTGAAAAGGTAAAGAGAGGGGAAGGGAGTCCACTCCTTCCCTGAAAAGCATTTCTGGAGACATCCATGGAGAAATAACTTTTCTCCCTTCCAGGAAGACCCATGGATGGGAGAGGACTTACCCCCAAGACTCTGGGCTCTCCCTTGAGGAAATCCAGCAGAGAGTTATTAGGCCCATAGGGTAATGCAGTCAATACAGTTTCATCTGGTTGTACAGTGATGGTACGGGTCGATCTTTTGACCTCAAATGATGACTCCATGATTCAATGGCAAAACTCTATTTAGAAAATGAGTGACTAAACATTGCAGCCACAATCATGGTCTTCCTTCATCCCTACATGTAGTCCTTAGCAATAAGCCTGTGCTTATTACTTAACTCAGTACTAGAACCACAGAATCATAGTCATTAAGTCATAGAGTCTTAGAATTCCATAGCATATCCAGCCCTTTATCTTCCTGGTGAAGAATCCAGTTATCCAGAGAACTTACCTTCCTGTTGATTTGTTTAGAAACAGATAGTAAACACAAAATAAACGGATGGTGTATGTAAAAGCAAATTTCAGTATCTATATTCATGAGACATAAAGGAACTAAAACATATAGAATATGCACTATGCTTTAGGCACTGTAGAAGGTGTTTTGTTTTAACATGTATAAAATTTTTTAAAACAATTCTGTAGTGCTGAAACTGAGGTACAGAAAGGTTAAGTTACCCAAGGTTGCATACTAAGGGAGAAAGAGTCAAACTCTGCTTATCTATGTTCAAAATTTATGCCGTTTCTGTTCAACCATGCTTCCCTCCTCTTTCGGAAGGACGTTCCAACTTGCAGTTAATGAATTGTCTCCAGTATTGTTTAACCATATTCCTCTGTCATATGAAAATCAGTCATTAAGAAGGTGTAGGCCCAATGTAATTGCCACTTTAATAGAGCACATTTTAGCTTTCAGAAAGACCAGTAAAACTAATTCTACATGAGGCCTTCCTGGTTTAAATTATACAGATACAATTAAAACAGTAGAAAGTCTTTTTTGGAGTTTTTCTTCCCATGTCAATCCTTTATATTCCTGTATTTGTTATGATTTTAATGATTAAAGCATAAAGGCAAAATGATTTCAGAAAACGAAAAATACATATTTACAAATATTATCTTGAATATTTCTTAGTTTGTGGCAGTCATGCATAGCAGGATTTTTCAGCCTCAGCACTGCTGGCCTGTGGGGCCAGATGATTCTTTGCTGTAGGGAGTTCTGTGCATTGCAGGGTGTTCGGCAGAATCTATAGCCTCTACTCATTAGATGCTAGCAGCTCATCCCAACTATGGAAACCAAAAATTGTTTCTGGACATGGCCAAATTTGCTCCCCAGGGTGTAAAATCATTCAGGCTGAGAACCACTGATGTGTAGAAATAATTGCAGACTGTGCCCTCTGTTAGTTTTTTTAATAGAATATCTCATTGCCTTCTACATCCAAACCTCAGAGAAAGTATGTATTCCTCAACACATACATGCTTTTTCTGCCAATATTTATTCAGATAAATTTTAATTTCTGTCTAAAGGGCAATGAAACATTTTAAACTAAACAAAGTGTGGGATCAGTCTGCATGTAAATTCTAAGCAGAACTGACAGGCCATCAGAATCACATGAGGAGGTGTCGAAAGCCTGCTGTGCAGTAAAAGGGAAGTGCACCTCCAATGGTGCTGACTCTAACTGCAGCCGCAAACTGCACGCACAGCATCTTTACCGACCACTGTGATTATTTGGTGAGCAAGTAATTGCAATACTTTAAGCCTTTTATGACCTGTTAATTTTCTACTTAAGTGTAGAGAGTTTACTGCCTTTTTCTCATATTTTAGAAAATTGGATGGGAATTTGGGTTGACCAAAAGCATATAATTTTTCTTCCTTTAAAATGATGGAAAAGAACTGTCTTCGTGTAGAATCCCTGATTTTTAGGAATGAGTTACTGATATTGAGCAGGAGACGCTTATCATTCTATATGCCTTGGTTATTTCAAAGTGCATCTCATTTTATCATTTTGGTTGTCCGTCTCTGCCTTTTCCTCCGGCTTCAAACTTTCAAGCTTCTTAAAAATAGGCTCTCTAATATTTCAATCGATGGACTCAGACCAGAGGGCAAGAACGAGGCTTTTCCATGAAGAGATGAAATGACAGAACCCTTGCTGGGCATCTACAAGCAAGGTGACATTCTTTGAGTGGAAATGGTATTCCCTCTTGCCTTCAATCTGCAGACCTCTCTTCTTTGAGCTTGACAAGCAATATTTAGCTCTGTACATGCCAACACTGCTCTACATAAAAGAGATGTTTACTCCATTATTAAATTCATCTTTGTATTATCATGTCACCCTCCCAACAACCTTAAGAAGCAGGTTTTTATTATCATAGCCATTTTGAAGACATACCTGAGTACTATAGTTACTTCTGGTAAGTGGCAAGGCTGAAATCTGAACTTGGCTTTTTCTCTTCCATTCTTCATGCAACAATTCAGTGTGTATTAGTTTTCTATTGCTATGTAACTGCCACAAACCCAGTGGCTTAAAACAACACACATTTATTACCTTATGACTTTTATGGCTCAGGAGTGAGGCATGGCTTCATTGGGTGCCTCTGCTCAGGACTTCACATGGTGGCAGTCAACGCATCAGCCAGGCCACATTTTCATCTGGAGGCTCGACTGAGGAAAATCCACTCTTAAGCACCTTCAGATAGTTGAAAGAATTTGTTTCCTTAGGAGCGTATAAGTAAAGACTCTAGGTTTTGCCAGCTGGAGGTAAGAGGCTTCCATCAGATCCTAGGAGGTGGCCTCAATGTCTTGTTGCCTCACCTGGCTGCTTACTTAGTTCATCAGACCAGCAAGGAGATCTTGTCCAAGTTAGGTAAAAGAGAAGGAAGGATTGGAGAGTTTGTGATAAAGATTTGAGTATGTGTGGCTCAATCACTGATTTCGGGTTACTGTTTTAGGGAAGTGCATTTTTAAAAAAAACTAAGAGTTAGAACCCAGAGTTCTAACACATATATCAAAGATCTACATTGTCTGCTTGGATTTCATTGAAACCATTAACTCCTCTTGCTACGAGTTCATTAGACCTCCCTGTTAGTGGTTTTTGCCTAACTGGTTTCCCAAAGGAAATGTGGTAGAGAGTCAAAGGAAGAAGTCAAGAAAAACTCCCAAATTTCTGTATTTGGAAACTGAGTGGGTGGCCGTGTCATTTGTGAAAGACAAACAAGTTGGGGATTGGGAGTAGCAGAGAGAGTTGAAAATAAAAGATGCAACTTGACCATACCTTCTGTCAGTTTGGAATATTATTCCAGGTAATACTTAATAATTCTTCAGCTAGTCTGAAGAAACTTTCTGTTAACAGCAAAAAACAAACAAATAAGAAACAGATCTGGGATAAAATGTAATTTTATTGCATGACTTGACTTATGGGATAAAGAGGAATCTCAAAGTTTCTGCGCCCACATTTATAATAGTCACACACACACACACACACACACACACACACACACACACTTAAAAACACTCAAATAGGAGCTGAAACCTCAGCAGGGAGTAGTAATTGAGTGCACTAATGTAGCTTACAGACTACTGGGAGTAAATATACAATTGAAAAACAAATAAAATATATAATAAGTCACATGGTAGTAAGTACTACAGAGAAAAAAATAAGCAAGTAAGTAACAGGGAAAGAAGGTTACAATTTTATATAGGTTTTGGGTGAGGAGGTGGTTATTGAGGCTCAGAGATTTAAGAGAGACCTGAAAGAAGTGAGAAAACAAGCAATTAAAATAATTGCAAGAAAGGCCTTCCAGAGAGAGGGAGGCTATGTAATAAAACAAAAGAATATGTCCAGTGACAGCAAATGGCCAATGTGACAGTAGAGGAAGCAAGGGGGAGAGAAATCAGAGAGAGGATCAGAGAGGAAATGAGAGTTTAGATCTTATAAAGACACTTAAGGACTCTGATTCTTATTTGGAATAAAGTGGCATGGGTTTGAGCAAAGAAATGACATGATCTGATTTTAGATTAAAAAACAAAACTCCTGCTGTCTACTATGGGGAGAAAAGGCTGAGTGGTGTGCACAACCAGCTGGTTGCTCATTGTAATAGTGTCAAAGGGAAATGATGAACCAGAGTACTTGTGGGATGGTAAGAAGTAATCAGGCACAGTATATTTTGAAGTTTGAACTAGCAGGTTTTGATGATAACTTATATATGATGTGTGAGAGAAACAGGAGAGTCAAAGATGACCCCAACATTTTGGGGAGATGATGTTTTAAAGGAATTTGACAATGGAGAAGACCTGAGGGATGGCTCAATAACTAGACAAGCACAAGAGGTCAAAAGTAACTGTTAAAAATTTTTTTTTAATTTTGCTATAACATAAAAGCAAGAGAACACATGATATATGCACAGAAACAGCATCCAGATCAAGGAAAAGAACATTTCTAGGAAACCACAGGCTCTCTGGATCCCCTTCCAATAATTACCAACAAAGGTAACCATGTTCCCAATTCTAACACTGTATGTTAGTTTTGCTTGTATTTAAAATTTATTTTATGTAAATGGAATTATACAGAATGTACTCGTATACATAGCTTGTATCCCTTGATCATTATCTTGTGGATTTATGTACATGGCTGTGGGAATTGTAGTTTGTTCACTTACAGTGCTGTATAGCGCTTCATCACCTAAACATACCACAATTTTTGTCTCTTCAGCTGTTTATTTGGGTAAACAGCTTTTTTGGAGACTATTATGTGTATGACATCTATAACCATTTTTGTACATGTCATTTGGAAAGCATACATGTGCATTTCTATTGCACATTCCCTTCTGGGACAGGAACCAAGACCTAGACCCAGGGGCAATATTAGAAATATTTATTAGGTAGTTTATGTTATTTATTCCAATATATAATAAAACTGACATTATTTCTATATGTCTAATTTCTTATTTGGTCTAGAATTTAGATGGGAGAGAGCATTGTAATAAATTATAATCTTTGAATCCAGTTATTTAAGGATAAAGGCATTAAATGAGACAGAACATTGTGCTATTATATTTAATTGACAGAAATTTAACTCATTCAATTAACAGAAATTAAGCCATATATTTTTAAGTATTTTTAATTAAAATTTTCCTGCAATCTCAATATCTATTATTTAAGTAATATGCATGTGAAAATAACACAGAAACAGAGCCTGCACAGCCACATAACTTAGCCAATTCACACTGGCACAAGAAGGCAGATTTTCTCTTCTTATGATAGAAAATTAGTTCCTGTTCAGTTTACCCAAAGAAGCTTTTTGATTTTATGGCCATTTTGGAAGACAGACTAATAAAATTTTACTGACCTGGGTTTTTGGAAAATTATTTTCAAGAGCAATAAAATTACTCACACTGACAAACAACGAAACAGTAGCTATTTTTTTTAAAGTTTCTCCAAGAGTCTAAAATAGCTGAATGTTCAGGAAAGTCTAATCACACATTGTCATGAGCACTGGGTTTCTCCTTCTTTTTTTCTCTAAGGTGGAGGGTTCTCATATCCATGATCTTGAAGAAGTCTTTGACACATTTGATACTATCTTGTGACTGAAGAAAAGACAATGAACTCTAGGAAAGATGAAATTTGTTAATAGATATTTAACTCTGACTTTAGAGGCTTTTTTAAAAATTTTATTTTAATGTATTTTTTCAAATACATTAAAGTAGATATTTATAATGCATTCCCCACAAATGCTGCAGAGTAGTAGCTCTCCCAACTTTCATATAATTGCATCACCATTAGTTCAAACAAATGCCATTCTCCAATCTGTTAATTCTGTTACCGTTTTCTGATAAGACTATAATTGAATCGTAATTTATTTATATTCTCTTTCAATATTTCTCCTTTTTTTTCTACTACGGCTTTTAAATAAGAGTTTTCAAAAATTGTAATGTCAAGACCAAAGAAGAAGGAAGGAAAAACATGGGAAAGCATAAACAGAACAGAGGATGTTCTACTAAAAATCGCATCACACCAGCAAGGGAACTGAGTAGGGAGGCAGGTGACTGTTCATGACAAGAGTGAAGAAGTGCAAGTTCCCAGTCTCAGCCCATTAGTCTGTACCATTCATTTTCCATGTGTTTTTATCCAAGCCTTGATTCTTTTATAAGGGACTGGCGCAAGTGATTTCTAAAGTCATCTAGCTTCATATTAAGCAATTCTCTAGCTGGTTTGCTACCCAATAGGCACCAAGTGCTCTCAGATGACCAGAGTGTCATCACAAAGGAGACTATTGATTGAACTCTTTTCTCACTATAAAATTTGCCTTCCATGCAAACCCAATGGCCAATAATGGACTTCTCTTTTAGACCTGGATCATCATAGCTCAAATCTTGGGACCCACCAAGTGTCATGGGACACATCAGAGTACTCACCCCAGGGTTGTTGGAGTAGCCTTCTTTCCACCAAAAGATAAAAGAGTATACAGCTAGCAAGAGCTCCAGCACAGTGACAATAAGCATCACCACCAGCACACCCTGCAAATCAGGACAGGGACAATTGACACACTAAGTGAGCCCTTGCACCTGACTGAGAGGAGACTGGGGGACATGCTAGCAGTGGAGAAAATAAGGGACAGGGAAAATAGTTTAATTCTATCTTTTGCATTCTCTTTTTTGATCTCTTAGCAGAAGAAGAGAAATAAACAGCCACAGTTTCATCTCAGAATCTTGGTCTCCCACATTGTGAGGAAAGAGTATTCCTTCATTTACCTCTACTGGCTTTTCTTTTCTTTTTTCCTTTGTTACTTATTTTTGCCATGATGTTTTTTAGGTGTGGATTTATTTTCATTTACCTCACATTGGTCTCAGTGCGTTCCTTCAGCCTAAAATCTTGCATCTTTCTAAAATTCTGACAAATGTTCAGTGATTTTTCTTCACATAACTTTTCTCTCCCATGGTGTCCCACTGGAGCTCTGTTACATGTGTGTTGAACCTTTTCACTTCACTGTATTCTCCATGTCTTTTAATTTCTCATTCATATTTTCCAAATTTTTTATCTTAATGTGTTATGTTCGGTGTAATTTAATCAGATTTTCATTTCATTTCATTGTTTATTTCTTTGCATATGTTGACTCTGCTATTTAACTAATATGCTAAGCTTTTAATTTAACATCAACTATTATAATTTTCATTTCTAATCATACCATTTACCTCTTTTTCAAATCCACCTGTTCTTTTTTCTCAGTATCATATTCTTTCATTTTAGTTTCAGTTGCTTTTTTTTGTGCATCTTTAATTATTTAAAATATATTGCCACTATAGCCTTTTTCAAATTATTATGTAATCTCTAATTCTTGAGCAACTAACTTTTGTGTTTGTTCCATTTGCTGCTTTTCCTCATTTTTTTCCTTATGTTTTACAAAATATTTTTACTCAGATAATTTCAGCATATGGGTAGTACTGGAGGAAATTCTTTGACATGTGGGAGATTCATAAACTGGATTTATGAACATTTCCTTCGATAGTAATTTTAGGTTTGAATCTGTTAGAACCCTAGGAGTTTTGCTGATCCAGGGAGTTTTTAAGTTAATGCTTTTATTTGAGGTTCCTCCCTTGTATCTGTAATTTTGGATTTGGATACCATAGCTACACAAGACTTGATGAGATGATTTCCTGTTAGAAAACTTATTGGCAGAGTTTCTTGAAGCTCCTTGGGATGTTTGGCAGAGTTTTCCTTGTCTTATTTTCATAAACATTCTGTCTCAGCTCCTAACATTTTTGCAGGGCACTCCATGCACACTGTCTGCTTTCTGTGGAAAATCAAATCCTGCCATGGCATCCATGATCCCAATCTCTAACACCTGTGTTCCTATTTTTTCTGGTCTCAGCTCTCGTTTGTAGTGTGTATTCACCACCTCAAGTGTATTCACGTACATAGAATACACACTCATGACCTGGCTTTAGGGTTTTTCTTAGTTTCTAGAATGTACAATGTTTTTCTTCCTTGATTTTTTTATTCCTCTCACCCTCCCTTCCTTCCTTCTTCTATCCTTAGATATATACTGTAAATATTTTTTAATTTGTTACTTTTGCTCAGGTTATCTTTGTGTTAATAAAGAAAAAGTGAACCTTTGAACTAGCTTAGTCTGCCATGGTACAGCTCCTCTGATATTGCAGGAAGTTCCCTTTGATTCCAGTCATATGAGAACGGGAGGTGGTTTGGTGTATTGACATTAATTTTCATTAAATTAAGCCCCCACTTTCTCAGTGAGGGGATGCCTCCTGCTCCCAATCACATTGCTTTGCGTAATGTCTGACCTGCACCAGGGTTATACTATCTCGGGGCTTCCACATGACAGTTTCTCTCCAGATTGATCTCTTTGCTTTTCCGCTTCCTCAAGCTCCTGGGTCAAAAGGGTTACTTTTGACAACCTCTGGGTCAGATGGGCAGACTCATGGAAGGCTATGAGTCCAAAAACTTGGTGTACATTCTCTGAGATTCACCAGACAGATAGATCCCGAGGAATGTGAGAGAAGTGCGTTGTCTCTCCCCAGCTCCTACTGGGAGGACTCACAAAGGAAGAAATCTTCCTCCTTAACAGGTCAAAGCTGATGATTTCAAAACTCTGAGCCTGTATAAAAAGGATTGACTAAACTAGGATTGTCACCATCAACAGGTGGTGACCATCAAGTTTGGGGGAAAGGAGGCAAGAAAATGCTGCCCAGAGATATTGGCATTTCTGCCAGGAGTCAAATCCATTGGTGGGCCATCTCCTATCCCCTTCTCACTCTCTGCCAGCCAAAATATAATAATTATATGTTTGGGCTTTAGGTTCAAAATCCATATCAAATTAAACGTAGGATACAGTCATCCCAAATCAATGAAATTCAAATAAAGAGGGATATTTCTGGGGTATTTCATTGAGAAAAAAATACCTGTTCTACTAAAGGAGCAGTTTGAGAGTTAAACCTACTGGGATTTAAAAAGAGAGTGCCCATATCCCTTCCTGATTTCTTTTTTTGACTTTGCACAATACATCCCCCATATTAGGCAGTCTACTGAAAGGCCTAATTGAATGACAATTTTTTTCCTTCAATCTGCTTCCAGACATTCAGACCAACAAGGCTAAGGACTACTGAAAAAGCAAGATTATGCAACGGTGGGGGAAAGAGATTTCACATGACAAGATATTCAATCTGAAAGTACTTACTGTTAGACTGACAGCATCCAGGACACAGTCCTCAACTTCATATGTTGAATAATAGTACTCCAAATTAGGCAATGAGGATAGAAGCTCCCATTGTGAGCCACATATCAGAGAGGAACTCCTCAGGACTACCAGGCTGTCAGCAAGGAGGATGAGGCCTATTACAGCGACAACAGAACTCACTGCATTGGACATCAGGCTGCTCAGGGCCTGGAAGAGAAATTTGCACTGGGATCTCATCTCACAAGCAGCATGTGATTCTGTTTCCCTCTATCCACAACACTGCAACGTAGCTTCCTTGGGTCTGTCTCCACTCTAACCAGCACAGTCCTAGTGGGAACTCCCAGTGTTCCATGCATCTCTGTATCCCTCCTCACAATCTAGTTCATTACCTCAGATAATGAGTAAATGTTTGTTAAATGAGAGAATCTGTGAGTAATTCCTACTTTGAGAGAAGGGTTCTGGCCCCTTAACTCTCTGTGGCATGGAAGACAGAAGTGGTATTGCCAGCATCTCCCTTGATTTCTTCAACAGACTTAGAGTCCTTCTCCTTCTAGAAGCTTTAAGGGTTTCTAAAATATGGCCTTTGGTCCCTCCCGGGAAGACCAGTCTATGGCTTTTTCTTCCATAAAGAAGTAGCTACAGAGCAAAGGCAGAAGCACACTATAGAAGTTGGAATACATTCTATCGGTGAGTCAGGCCTATGAAAACCTCATTTACTGCATGTATTCTTGGGTCATAGTCTGCATTTTGAGGAAAGGGGCTCTTATGAGATGTCGTTCCTCTGCAAAGACACAGATGGGCCACACTTTTTACCGACCCCCTTTCTGTGCCAGCACATGCTCTTTTTCTGTTTGAGCATCACTGTAGTGTACTATGCATTGGGGAGGATGGTTTCCCAATCTTCTTATCCCTTGGCCCACTAGCTATATGGCTTCAAGTTGCTGAGTCCCTGAAGAACAGAGTGAATGGGCAGCATCTTGTCCCAAAATTGTCATGTGAACCCACTTATCATCCTGTGTCCCACATGTGGAACCCATATTGTGTCACGTCATCCCAAATGCAGTCTTTTAGTGTATTCAGAGCACTTGGGAAACCACCTCTGAGATCCACATATTCATCTTCCACATTTTTTATTTAAGAAAACTGAATCCCAGAGAAGGAAAGAACCTTTTCACGTACATTAATGGATCAGAGACAAAGTTGGGACAAGAGTATATGTTTCCTGATTCCAAGTCCAGAATCCTGACGCCATCCAATGGTGTGAACTTTTCAAAACACTGTCTATTGGTTCTGGGGTTCAGACTTTAGCTTCAAGTATCAGGAGCATATACCTTGTACATCATGTGTGCTCTCATCCATGGCTAACCAGACCCTGGATCTTCCTAAATCAAGATGTGGTTTTTCCCTAAGTCATCTTTGTGAGTATGCATCAGGGGAGGGGGAATGGTTGCTATGGAGAAGATCAAAGGCCTCAGCTGCTTCCACCCACTACCCCCCAAACTCCTGACCTTTGTCAGGAAAGTGGCTTCAGTATGATAATTTCTTGTTCCTGTAGGAGTGGAGGAGATAGCCAGACAAGATCTAAGCCCACACAGCTCTGCCTTTGTCCATGCCATTGAAGGAAATTGACTCATTATTAGGTAGATTTTTCTAGAAAAAAAGAATCTCTAAGATCTGGCTGGGATGTACCCTATTCAGGGCCAAGATAAGTTTTAAACAATGTGGTGATTACCAAAGGAAAAAAAAGGGGGTATGAGTATTTAGAAGAGCGTAGGGAGGGGATAAATGGTGGTGAAGAGACTTGAGGTGGTGAATACACACTACAATATTCAGATGATGTGTTATAGAATTGTACACCTGAAACCCATATAATTTTATTAACCAATGTCACCACAATATATTCAAAAAAAAAGAAAAAAGTTTTAAAGAATCCTTGGTATATGCAAAAATTTCCACCATGTAAGTAACTGAGGTAAACCTCCATTAAGCTTGGAATATGATCCAGGAGCTCCGTTTTGTAGGGGAAAGAGTACTGGTCCAAAAGGCTAGGAATTTGGGTTTTACTCTTAGCTCTGCCAGCAAACCAGTGGGGAGAACTTGGGCTCCCTCACTCATTCTGAATCTTATTTCCCTAGACACTCAAATGGAGATTTTGAACTGGAAGAATTAACTCTGAAGTTCCTTGTACACAAATCAGCTGAGATTTGACGGTTCTTATACTTACAAAGGACTTAGTTGATTTCTTCCCAGAGACAATAGAGAGGAATCCGGCAATGGCAAACTTTTCAGAAAAGAGAGAAATAATCAATTCATTTCTTTTGTGGAAATGTGTCAATCACTCACTCAATAAGTAATGTAAAACTTTTAGGAGGATAACACTGTAGGAATAGTGTGGGTCCATACTGATAGAAAGACTGCTTTCTGCCCTCAGGATGTTTACATTGACTTTGAGGAGTTGGCAGATGCACAAGGGAATGGATTCATGTTAGTGAAAATCATTATGAGCTCAGGAAACCTGGAGAGGACGTGTGCATGAAGTGAGGAGAGAGCCATAAATTACAAGATTGACTACTAACCCAGGCCTAGTGTCTCATCTACAAATCTCCCTACAACAAAGGTCTAGGGATGTCTGTTTATTGCAACGGGCCACACTTGTCTAGAAGCTATATCTGCAAAGCACTTGATGTGAGATGGAATCATCTGGAAACTCCTTGCTTACAGTCAACTGTTTTTAATAGGTAGGGATCTTTCTTAATTATTCATGTTTATTGTTAGGGCTATGTTTTTTCATCACAGAATCTGACTGTAAATATAGTTCATGCGTGTGGCTCTTCCCTGAATGTGATTGTAAATAGGGTTTTGTTTTCTGGTCTTTTCACTAAACATCATCTGGTAAGCCTTTTCTCATTGAATCATTATTCTTACCTTTCACTGTTCGTAATGTTTTACCATCTAAAGTAATTCCATAGTAAGCATGATGGTATGTTACAATTTTTTTTTACAAGGTTGAAAGACAGGAAGTTGAGAAAGACTGGTGACTTGAAGGGAGAGAAAGATAGGAGCAGCCAGCAGAAGCTCTTGGTGGGGCAAGGCACAGAAACACACGGGCTTCAAGCCATTGGTGTAGGTGGCCTAAGTTAGTCTGGGAGGAAGGTGGGAGATACAGGGTCAGATGTGAATAGTCTTTCATCATAAAGCCCCGGAAGTCAATATTTGATCCCAGTGGTGTTAGGGATTCAGCTGGAGTTAGAAAGATATTCTGAGAAGCTACAGTGTTGTTTAAGCTGTGATTTAGGGATTTGGTTGTCACAAAGAGGGTCCAGCAGGAGTTAATTCTAATATGTAAGCCACAACTACTGGCTAAATAGAAAAGTCAAGGGCAAATTTTGCTTTGGGTGTAGGAGCAGGTCCTTTTTTTGTCCACACAAGGACTGTATCTACACAGAGGTGATGCCTTGGTAAAATTCATCTGCCCAGAATATGTGTCTTTTTCTCCTTTGTAGAGCACACTACAAAAAAAGGGGGGAAGGGGAGGTATGATTAGAACTTTTTGGCTAGTGTCCAAATAAGGGAATCCACTGGGCTCTTCTTTATAAGCCATAAAATGGAAAACAGCAAAAAACCTTTCTGAGTGCTGATGATTGTCTCTTGAACACAAAACAAGAGCATCCCTCCTTCCCATGAATTTTACCATTGCTGGTTTAGTCTTCTGAAAACCTGGGTCATCTACCAATGGTGCTCATTTTATTTTAAAAATAACCTTTTTACTCTGTACCTGACAGGTGAATTATTCTTAAACTGGAGCAAATCCCATGGCCTCATCTGAGGCCCAAAGAAGGATGTAAAAAAATCTTCCACTTTTCTTGAGGCATAATGTAAGCCCAGTGTAAAAGATGCTGGTATGTCCATTGCATTACCCACTTGCCTTCTGTCCCATCCATTCACTCCCTGGGATGCTCACCCAGGATGGCAGATTAAGCCCCTCTCTGCTCTTCCTGAATTGCAGAGACATGAAGAGGGACAATAACAGAGGGCAAGCTGAAGACCTTAGCCTTTTCCTCCTCTCTCCCCTCCTGTTGGGACTGAGTTACTCCATGACTTAGCACCCCGTCAGCATTTATAAAGCATATCCCCTCTTGAAGACCCCACTCTACTCACACACAGAGCTCCTAAAAGCGGGTACCAGACCGTCGACATGGTGGAAACTGCTGGCTTGAGGTGGGAAGAGTAGGGAGAAGAAGCCAAAATGGCCCCCAAACTTAAAATCAGCAGGCAACACAGGATCTGGATACTCTACAAGAAACAAGAGATAAAATGCTAGAATACAACTTTAAGTAGATAAAGGTGGCTTTTGCATGTACATTGTGAATTATAAAAAGTCCTAAAATGTTAAAATTTGTCATACTAAAAAGGAAAAAAAATGTGTTACAGAGCTTCAATAGACGATCTCTAAGAGAAATTCATGTGTTACTAACAACTTTTGTTTTCTAATAAGATAATTTAACTAGCAAATCAGGATGTGAGTATATGTGCATTTTAACTTTTTTTTGAAAAAGCTAATTGACAAATTTTTTATGATTCTAGGAGAAGTAGGCAGAGAAAATTTTTTTCTGGACAACAGTCCAGTCAGATAGATATAGAAAGCAAACTTACCAAGGAGTGTCAATAAAGGGCTCGATTTCAATGGAAATAAAATAGAGCAGGAATTCTTTAGTGCTGTAATTCATATTATCTTGTTCATCATTGGATTTTAATAATAATTACTATTTTTATGACACCCATGATGATAACATGTTATACTTCTGGCTATTCATCTCATCTTATTCAAAGATAAGAAAAATGAGGCACCAGGAGTTAAAATAACTTGTACAAACCCATACAAATGGCTGAGTGGAAGAACTAGGATATAGGCCTTGTTAGTTTGATCTAGAGCCCACACTCTTACTCACTGTTTAATGAATATGCAGTTGAATGATGAAGCAAACATAGGAGAAATAACCTAAAGTCAAGAGAATTCAACCATTCAAACAATTAATTTATTGAGTATCTATTGTATGCCAGGCATCAGGGGAACAAAGCAAACAAAAATCACTGCCCTTTGACATGTATTATATGCTTTACAATGACTTCCTTAGGAAGTAGCATGAGTTAAGAGCAAAGTAGTAAGAAATGAGACATGAGAAGTACTGTGAGCATGATGCAAGCAAGGTAGGGCTTTGAGGGCTATTTTACCAACTCTGTCTTTCATTTTGAGTAAAAAGGAAAGCCCTTTGGATAATTTTGAGCAAAAAGATTACATGATTTAATTTCTATTTTCAAAAGGTCATTCTACATGCTCTGTTAAGAATAGTTAGTAAGAAAACAGAGCGAGGAGATCATCAATAAGGAGAGTATTGCAATAATTCTCATGTGAGATGATTTGACTTGAAAGAAAATTTGATAGCACAAATAATGAGGAGTAATTGGATTCTAGATGTACCATGAAGATTAAACCTATAGGATTTGCTGAAAGTTTGAATGTCGATTACAAAAGAGAAGAATGAAGGTTGTCTAGAAGCTATATCTGCAAAGCACTTGATGTGAGATGGAATCATCTGGAAACTCCTTGCTTACAATCAACTGTTTTTAATAGGTAGGGATCTTTCTTAATTATTCATGTTTATTGTTAGGGAGAAGAAGCCAAAATGGCCCCCAAACTTAAAATCAGCAGGCAACACAGGATCTGGATACTCTTTTGGCTTCTTCTCTTGTAAACAGAAACTTCACTGGAAGGAGTGGCAGTGATTGAGGAGTTAATTTCATGAAGGGAAAAAGGTAAATTACATGGAAGAGTGAAAGAAGTAGGAATGCACTGAATTTGTCTTTATCTCTTAAAGACCATGAAGATGTCATTTTTTTTCCTTCTAGCTGCACTGTTCCCTGATTATTCTAAGTGTGTAAAATAGTACCTGGCATACTGAAGGTGCTCAATTAATGGTAGAGGAATAAATAGATATATTTACAATATCCCTTATTGATTGCTGAAGCAAATGAAATGTGTTTGTAATTCTAGGCTATGTGTAGGCTAGACTGTAGGGTGCATCAGCTGAAAGGACAAGGGATTTCTTCTGAGGGAAAAAGACAAGTCAGCATGGCATCAGTTAGTTGAAAGAAGTTAATCAAAGAGTTAACATTGGTAAATAACAGTAGAATAACAAACATTAATTGGCTTTAGTTTCAAGCAACATATTCATCAAATGATTTTTCTAAGGATGGTCACTTTTGAAATTTGCCAATGCATCATTTAATGTTCTGATTATTTTTAGGTTTATAAAGTGAACAATCTTCTATAATCGTAATTCTCCTATAAATCCTCAATTATTCCTACTGTTAAAATTACCTTGAGAAAAACCCTCTTGAAGTTTATGAATGACTATAATTACTTGAAATAATTATTCATTTTCAGTGTTTAAAATATAAATAACATTTTTAAAAATATCACTTTGGGTAGAAGACTGACTTAGGATTTTTCAAATGATAAATAAAAAGAACAATTAAAAATTTTTAAAGTGAGATTGAGTTACCTAGTAAGATGACATGAGATTCTAAAACAGGAGTAGAGATGAGAGGGAAAGTTCGATCTAGAAGTGTTCTTGAGAAGCTAAGACGACACTGCCATCACTTCTGTGCCTAGAAGTGAGGACTGCAGTGGAAGGAGTTCTTTTAAGGCTAGATTTCTCTTTGCACTATAGAAGAAGAGGCCTTTGAGAAAAATTAAAAACTGTGGAATAAAGAGGATTATGTTGTTAACTGACCCTGAATTCCAGAGGGGACGACAGAACAGGGGTTGAGTATGAGTTGGGTCCTAAAGGAAGATATTCAGAACCATGAGGGGATTAAAGTCCTGGATCTGAAGGATGATGATGACCTTAGACACTGGGGTGTCTTATAGTGACTCAGGTGAACAGGGAGACAGTGTTTCGTGAAATTAGTCCAGATCCCCTTGCTTCAGAACGTTTAAGAAATGAGCTTAAAGCAAGATGATCTAATGTAATCATATTGAGTAAAGTCATATGGTTAAATCAATATCTCTAACTATATTAAGGAGAATTTACAAGAGATTTCAGGTAGGAAAAACCCAGATGTTTTTGTTAGTTTGCAGAAAGGCCTGGGGAGGACACAGTCTCCCCATAAAGCCCCCGTTCCATGTCTCAATGAGCCTGGAGTCAGACAGGAATACATGAGATACTCTCCCAGGCCCATTGGAAATCTGTAGTAGGGATACAGTCACAGTATTTCCCCCAGAGTTCTCCATATAATGAGGTGGACTTACTCCAAGGACTGTGGCTTCTGTTTGGAGATCATTCTGCAGTTTATCTTCTTTTGTGGGGGTATCGGGGTCCTTTGGAGAGAAGGACTCAAAGGTGTCCTTGGTCTTGGACTGTGATAACATGATGCTGATGATGCTGAAAGAGGCAGTAATCTCCGTTAGGACACAAGGTTTTGACTTCGTGCCATGAAACCCCCGGGGACCAGGCTTTACAAGAATTTAAGATTGTTCTCCATTGTCCAGAGGATGACCTGTCCTTCAGGAACAAAACTGAATTTGGGGAGCAGGGGAAGTGTTGGAAAGCTGGCATACTTGACACAGTCTAACCATCATGGACAGGAAGAATGTCCCTGGTAGAAAACTGCAAATGAACATTTGGAGGTCTCACACAACTGAGAGACGGACAATTCACATAGAACTTGCTTGGCAGCCTTGAGCATATCCTTTCACTCACCCTCCAACAATCTCTTCTTCCAGCTTCTCTTCCTCCTGTACCTCTGCTTCACCTGTGGTGCATTCCCACACAACGTCTCCCAGAATTCTACCTTTATGCTACACCTATACTGCCTGCTCAGGCTTCCATCATTCTCTTGAATTTCCTTTCCATTAAGATGTTGACTGATCTTACTCCACATCCCTTTTCTGTACCACCTGGAATGACCCTCTGCCTATATTAGCTTAAAATTTGTTAATATAAACATTTATTTAACTCCTGATGAATTCTAGGCACTAGGCCGTAGTAGATCTAATTCTTATAACAACTGAGATGTTATTAAATCTATTTCATACATTAGAAACTCAGGACTAATTAAGTTCACTAGATAAAATAGTCACACAAAGCACTTAACCTGGTACATAGAAAGTATTAAATACATGGTAGCAAATGTAATTATTAATTAACCTGTATTTGCATAACCAGAAAGTGTGTGAACCAAGTTGATCTGGCTCTGAAGCTTGTGCTATTTTTTTCATTAACACATTAATTTTCCTCATCTCCCCCTTTCTTCCTTCCCAATGTTGGCAGTTCCAGTGTAGACTCAAGCAGTAAGCTGTCTGCTGTCCATCAGCATGGCAGCGTTGCTGGGCCTTTGTGGCGTCAGCAGCAGAGTTCAGACACTGGGCTGTTCCCCAGATCTGTTCTCAGCACAATGTTCTCCCTCTTGAAGGCCATAGTTTGAATAAAGGCTTATGGTTCTGATGGTGCCACAGTTCTGTTCCTTGACACTTCACCTCAATGGTTCCAGGCTCTCTTGGAGAATGCAACATACAAATACTGGAACTGGCATCCACAATCTTGTTACTAGTTGGAGAGCCAGGAAAAGTCACTGGGCTGGGAGTCACAGCTTCAGCACCTAGTTGCACATCTGAGCATGTGTTTTGGGGTCCAGCCCTATGCTTATGTTCTGTAGCCACCAATCATTACTAAAATACCACAGGCAAGTTATTTTAGCCACTTCATAGGTTTGTGATAAGGGTTACATAAATGAGATGATGCGCGTAAAAGATTCAACACAGAGTGGTGGATGAACTCTCAGTACATATTAGTTATATTTAAAACTCATTAGAATTTCTGCTGGGACTATACCCTAAGAATACCAAAGCGCCAATACAAAAGAACCTATGCACCCCAATGTTCATAGCAGCACAATTGACAATAGCCAAGTGTTGGAAGCAACTAAATGCCCATCAGTAGATGATTGGATCAAAAAATTATGGTACATATAAACAATGGAATACTATGCAGCAGAAAGAAAAAAAGAACTACTAAACTTTGCAACAGCATGGATGGAACTGGAGAGTATTATGCTAAGCGAAATAAGCCAGGGGGCAAAAGACAAATACCATATGATCTCACCTATGAGCAGAACCCAACCAACAAAACAAAGCTGCAAGGAAAATAAGACCAGCAACACTGAAAGGAGAAGAAATCAACAGAGACAAGAGGGAAGGAGGGAGGGGGGGCAGGGAAAAGGAAGGGAAGGGGAAAGTCAAGGAACATATAGCAAGGACTCATGGACAAAACCAAAGGGGAAGAGCTGAGGGAGGGAAGGAGGGGAGGGGCAAGAGAAAGTGGTGGGGAGTGGGCAGAGACAAATGTATTTGAAAAAATAAATTAAAAAAAAAGAATTTCAGCTCTGATATTTACTAGCTGACCGCAAGCAGGTTATTTCCCCTTCATTCATCTTCAGTTTTCTTACCTATAAAATAGCATCACAAAGAATTCTTGGGAGGAGTGGAACGAGGTGATCACATGAGTGCTCTTTGTCATGCCTCTATAGTCTTGACCAGGTGCTCCATAATACTCAGTGAGAGGTCCGTGACCTCTGCCCCATTTCTACTCCTACATCTATGCCTTGGTCAAGTTTCTCATGCTCTCGGGGCACTGAGTACCTTAATGAAAGAGTCATTAAAATAAAAGTCTCCTTGTCTATGGAAATAATGATCATGTGGGGGGATTTTGGAACCTGTGCAGAAGTTTAGGTGAAGTTACATGGACAAGGAGAGAAAAAGTGTTGGCACCAAATCCTCACACTAGAACTGGGGCGAGGATCTTGCTGATGGACCAGGCCCTTTCCAGCACATCTTTAAAGCCAGGGAAGTAGAAAACTAATCATATTTGGAGAGATTCTAGGTGTCAAAACCAAATATGTTTCTGGTAAAATGAGAATAATTCCTGGCAATATTAAGCACCTACTATGAGTCTGGCACTGTATTAAGAACTTTGCATGGGGTTTCATTTAGTCTACACAATGACTCTCTGACATACTATTTTTCCTTGATTTCTCAGATAAAAATAAGGCTTAGAGACAGTTTGCACAAGATTGTATATTTAGCATGTAGTGAAGGCAAGAATTTAATCCCGTCAGGCTGATGCCAGAGCTCTTCTATGCCCTGTAGTTCTAGGCCTGCCCATGGAGCCACACATAACCCTCAGCCCCTGTACCCTTTCCTTCCCCTCCTATAGCTATAGTCCACTGGTTGCCAGATCATCTGCTCCATGTTCACCCACAGCAACATTTCTGACCTTAGGGAATGTGGGTTGATGGTCTCTAACTCCGGAATTGTTCCCATACTCTGGTAACTTGGCTTTTTCCTTGCTCCTGTGGTTTAATAACCCACATATCCCATGTAGACCTCTCCTTATTTCTAGCCTTAGTAACCAGTCTTTCAAGGTGCATCCATCTTATCACATATTGCAAGATTTCCTTCTTCTTTTAAGGGTAACCTTAGGACATTGTGTTAAGTGTGATAAACCAGTCACAGAAGGACAACTACTGTATGATTTAACTTATATAAGGCATAGGAAATAGTCAAACTCATAGAAGCAAAGGCTAGGATGGTGGTTGCCAGGATCAGGGGGAGGAGGAAATGGGGATTTTTTTGTGCAACATGAATAAAATTTCAATTATTCAAGATAAATTCTAGAGATGTGTTGTACAACATTGTACCTATAGATAGCAATTCTGTATTGTACATTTAAAAAACGGCCAAGAGGGTAAATATTTTATTAAGTATTTTTACTATGTAAAGAAGTAAAGTTGGAAAGAAAGAAAACCAAAGACTGCCCCCAACTTCAGGATTAAAGAAAAGTCTCTGTACTTCTGAATTACTTTTTGTATTTTTCAGTTCTCATACTCAAGAACTAGAGAATGCGTTTGATTCTAAACCTGAAGTTAGGACCTGGAACCTGAGTTGGTAGCCTCTAGCTCACTGTACTCTTGGGTACGATGTACACTTATTTTTTAAGTATTTCTGTCTGTTTTGTTTAAAAGAGTGCATAGCATTGCAAATACAATCAAAAAGGGAATAAGAGTTGAAGAAGAAGATAAAAAATTTCCTTAAATCTTAACTATCATGCAATATCTATTTCATGCATATCCTTTATATTCTCTTTTTCTCCTTCTTCATTTTTGTCTTCTCTTTCTTTATGTGTTTATGTGCATTCATAATTCTACATAAACAGAATCATTTTTCCATGTTATTTACAAGTCTTTTTGCACTCAACATTATTCTGTGTATATCATTGACACTAATACATATAGATAATAACAATCCTAAATTTAAAAGCCAAACAGGGAATTCTGACACGTGCTATAACATGGATGAACCTTGAATACAATATGCTAATTGAAATAAGCCAGTCCTGAGAGGACAAATATTATATGATTATACTCCCATGAGGCAGCCAGAGTACTTAAATTCATAGAGACATATAAAACTGAAAGCAACAAATGAACAAACAAGAAAATGAATGAAAATGCATAGACACAGACAACCGTATGGTTGTTACCAGAGAGAAATGGGGTCAGGGGGTAGTAAAGGGTAAAGAGTGTTGAATATGTGGTGATGGAAGATTTGACTTTGGGTGGTGAGCTCACAATGCAATATACAGATGATGCATCATAGAATGTACCCTTGAAATCGGTATAATCTTATTAATCAATGTCACCCCATAAATTTAATTTTTTTAAAAATGTAGAATGATGGTTACAGGGGGCTGGGAGGAGAGAGGAACATGGAGTTACTGTTTAATGGGCGCAGAGTGTCCGACTGTGGAGTTCAGTCATGGGGATGGTTTCACCAGAAATCTCCTTACTGATGTCATCATCTCCAAACTCCACAGACTGAGAAGGATCCTTGGTCCTTCCACATTCATCACATGGAGACAAACTGGAGGTGGTCTCCAACTTTTCAAGACAGTTCTAAAATCCCAACTTGGGAGAAAAATCATAGCTTGGAGTACAACCTCTCTGCACACAGCAATTTTCTCTATGACAGAATTAGAATGGAACAATGGGGTCTTAATGCAGGATTTACGATAATCTAATTGCAGTTTTTATTGAGAGCATATTTCGTATAAGACTGAGCAACACATCCGGAAATGCAAAGGACTATAGAAAATTACCACCTCAAAGCATGAAAGAAACCTAAGGATGGTCTCACCCAGTTCTCATATTTAGAAAGTGAGTAAACTGAGGCCCAAAGAGGGAAATTGACTCACCAATCCATGCATCTAGTCATCAGCAGAGACGAGGCCAGAATCTAATTCCTGGCTGTCTGTTAAAAAAAAAAAAAATCACCCCCAAAATTCATGATCAAATCAAGGTGCCTACCTTTCTTTGCAGCCCAAGCCTGTGTGCTGTGGCTGGTGGGCCAGGTCACCTCCGGGAAGCTCTCAGCCAGAGCTTCCCACTGGCTGTTCCTGCCAGAATGATCTTGCTGCTTTGCTCTCCAGCCTCTGAGACTTCCTGTCTCAGGGTAATATTTATGATTACACAAGAGTCTCGCTGTACTTATTTACAGTTGATTTATTAAAATAACTCTGCTTCCTCTTTCTAAATTTCAAGATCTGGAGAGTGATACAAATGAGAAGTAAACACGCAAGTAAAAGAGCTTGTGAAGACTAGTGAGTTGCACGGCTCCATTTAGAATTCACTTCCCACCTTCCTATTGGTGATTTAACTAGTTCCTTTTAGCCTGAATTTTCTTACCTACTAGATGGGAATGGATAACAATATTTCCACTATATGGCTGTTGCGAAAACTAAAGAGAAAGGATGTAAAGCACTAATGAAAAGTAGGCACTCAATAACTAGTCATAATAGTGATGTTAACTTTGAATTTGGAAGAATTTATTTTCCCATGTCCCAAGCTCTGGAAAACCTGAGAGCAACCTAACTGGAACTGCCTTTTGACCCAGCAATCTCATTTCTGGGTATATATCCAAAGAAACCCAAAACACTAATTCAAAATAACAAGTGCATCCTTATGTTCATTGCAGCATTATTTACAATAGCCAAGATCTAGAAGCATTCCAAGTGCCCATCAATAGATGAGTGGATAAAAACATGGTGGCACACATATTCAATGAACTACTTCTTGACCATGCTGTCCTTTATGCAAAAGTGTTTTACTGTCTGTACTCTGAAGGTAAGAATAAAGAAGATTCTAGAGAATCTATGCACAAATTGAGTGGGTGTGATTTACTTGTTCATAGGACACCTCTTTTTGAAAAATTAGCAATTAACACATTTGTACCTCATTATGCAGTTATAAAAATAAAGATTTTTTTCCCTAAAAACTCAGATGAGGCAAAAACGTTGCCACCTAGATTACCGGTTCTATCCTCTATATTCTCAATCCTCTTGAAAAAAATATTAATTTTAACATATTATGTATATTTAAATACACCAGTATTTAATATTTTTAGATGACAATGTAATTTAGAACATTGCTTTTTTTTACTCTTAAAAATAAGACATTTTATCAAAATCATATAACAATGGATTTTCTCTAGCTTGATTTTATCCTCTAATTTCAATGCTATGAGAGACAAAGCTGTTGAATATAAGCACAAAAACTGAACTGTGTCATTATTGATCTTTGTATCTATGAATTTAAATTATTTTAAAATGGCCATGTTAATAAAGATTTTAAATTAATTTCTTCTGTTTAATATTAGTACACCCTGATAGTAGTCCACTATTCACATAATTTGTGGTAATTGTCTGAATGTGAGTCCATTTTTATTAAGGCTTTAGTTATTACAACCCAATTTCATTTGACACAATGTTTACATTTATATAGCATTCAATGTTTAGTGTGAGGAGTGATCATTTATCCAATTTAGAAGATATGTAAGGAATTTCAGGAAGCTTCAATTAATTTGATTTCAAACCTGAGTAATATAATCATTGAAGTCCCCAAACACAAAAATATTGACAGGCTCCTATGGTTCTCTATTCTTGATAAACTTAGGGAGAGGACAGATAACTGTCTTTAAAATTGAATTTAAGCAATCTTTTCCAAGAATTTGTCATAATTAGGAGAGTTAAGTAAATTTTGCACATATTTTTTCCTAAACCAAGTACCACTCACACTGTTATAACCTCTGTTGTTACTGTCTGTTAAAAAGTAGCTTAATACAAAAGAATCTCTTCAAACAGGCCTGAAACCAATGTGCATTTCTTTATATCTTATCGTCACCAGATCATTGTCCACTTCCTTTAACTAAAACGACATTGTTCCTTTTTTGTGTGCTTAATTTTTTCCTTTTTCTTCTGAAAGTCCCTGATACTTGTTATTCTAAATTTTTACAAACTCTAAGAAGTCTCTAGAAATCAACAGTGTTTCATTAAATTTGAGAGACTTTATAATAAAGTTAATTTCCCTCTACAGATAGGTAAAAATGCCTTTATTCTTTTTTAGCATTGTTTATGCCACCAGGGATAATTCTTATACATCTAAGGAGAAAAACATTAATAGATAGTAGGTATTATTTCTTTAATTCTTTGCAGCTCAGCTCACTATCCACAGCACTGGAGGGCTTCTCTTACCCACATATCTTCACAGGAGACAATAGATCATTCTGGTGGCACTAAGTGGATTCTCCCTTCATGTGAAAGAGGATCTGTGATTTTGAACTGGAAGTTTTGAAAACATGCACATATGATAAAATCACACAGCTGATTATCCTACACTTTTTATGTTGAATGAACAAATGGGAAGCCATTTAGCTGATGACTACAGAATCTACCTGGGCTGATATGACCCCTGTAAATATGGGAAGCCACAAAGACCAGCAGAACCAAAAAGACATAAAAAATAACAGACATAGACTTACATGCAAATAATACCTTCACCCCAAAAAACACAACGCAAATAATACTGCTGCCACAATTTCCGTAAGATCATTCACACAATAACTGTACAAGCTAGAAATTGAATCTTGTTCTTCATCTTCTAAGCCCATTGCATTTTCCATACATGAAAATTTCACATGAACAAACTGAGGTGTCCCTAGTCCTAGAACAGGCAATGTGCTAGCTAAATCCGTGGTCTCCCTCACAATTGCATTTGTAGATAATTAATTGCCTACACCGTGACCTACTTATATCCAGAGTCACCTGGAGATATTTTGATGTAGTTACAGGTAAAAGCATTTATGAAACCCTGAGAATCCAAACTGGTGTAACGCTATCACCCTTACCTTCAAGAACTAGCCCATTTTTGCGCTACTGATACATGTTCTCTTATTAACTAATCTTGCTTCTCTAAGAGCATTAAAAATAACTGAAAGAGAACAGACAACATGGAGCCTTGTAGGCGACACACCATGTAAGAAACAACACTGGCCTTGGAGTTAGGAGTTTTAAGTCTGAGTCATAACTCCAGGCAGCCCTGCTTCCTCACCTGCTTAATGCTAAGGATGAACAAAACCAGAGACTCTCTAAGGCCATCCCAACTATAACATTCAATAATGGTGTGTCCCAAAGTGTTGGAAGAAGTACACCAGGTAATTATTAGTGAAGGTCATTATTTTCTCATTTGTACAAACTATTTTTATTCTTTGTAGAGATGCTTATGTTAGTCTATCAAATAGAAATTGCATTTAATTCTTTACCACAGATTCCTAAATACCAAAGCCTAGGAAATTAGAGTTATCCAAGAAGTCTGGGGAGGCTGTCTATAGGTGATAAAGATTTATGATATCATCACAGTTTTTTTTAAGATGTTCTTTATTTTATTTTTAGACATAGGGGAAGGGAGGGTAAAGAGAAAGAGAAACATCAGTGTGTGGTTGCCTCTCACACGCCCCCTACTGGGAACCTGGCTTGCAATGCAGGCCTGTGCTCTGGCTGGGAATCAAACTAGCGACCCTTTGGTTTGCAAGCTGGAGCTTAGTTCACTGAGCCACACCAGCCAGGGTTGTCATCAGAGTTTTGGGCTCCTTTGTCTTTCTGCTCAGCTATCCATGGTGCGCTTTCATCCTCACGGGAGCTGTACAGTAGCAAGTTGGACATTTCACCATCATCTTCCCATTCACATTCCCTGTAGGGAAGAGAAGAAAGATACGAAGAGAAGAAGTGATACGTAAATAAGAAATTGACATATTCCCAAGAATCTACCAGCAAAATTTCTGTGAGGACTCACTGGGCCAGAGCCATGTCACAGTGCCATTTATATCCACAAGGAAGACTGGAGAATATTGTCTCTTAGCTGTGCACTATTGCTAAATAAAGTCACCGTCGTTCTGTAACAGAGAGAGCGAGGCCAGAGAGTAAAGAGGCAAATTAAATTATCTTTTAACAGTTAATGTTGAATTTGCAAGATAATTTCTTGGGGAGCTGGGTTCTTCGCATACCTCAAGTAGTCTATCAGCTCATGTGTATATTTAGCTGCAGATAATTGAAAAATTATGAAATGACACATTTAAGATGATTTCTTCCCAAGTTTTTTCTTAAACCAGACAGGGAGTGGATACAGAACTATTTTACCATCATTTTTCAGACGTCATTAAAGTACATTTGGAAGAATTTTATATTTCATCTTTAAACCCCACACACACAGCATCTGTATTATATCAAATTTTAATGATATTTTTAAAAACAAGATATGTTCATCAATTTTCCCCTGGAATTTTAGGCAGCAATTAATTAATATTGTTCATAAAAAGGAACTATGTCTAGGAAATAAATCAAAGTGGAGTGTTGTTTCTTATTACCACTAATTCAACCCACTAAAGCTGATGAATGATTATAAACTTTGGACAACAAGGCTTGTTTTAAACAATTCATTTTTCCCACCCAAAGTACTAGTTTCCAGTCTTCAGTTTGCACAACCAGTAGAAAGTGTCCTGACTTTCCTCCCTAGAGGATACTTAGGGAATTTCCTCTCTGATACTTCCTTACTGGACATGTATATAAACACATAAACTTAGCTTTATTTATTTATTCCTTTTTGGAAAGCTCCATTAATGTTTTTTACTCTGACATGTGTCAAATCATATCAGGTAATGGAATTAAAATTTTATGAACTTTCTGGACAATACACATGTGATTTGAGATTCTTAATATTGGTTCAATTTTTTAAAAGTTATCATTATGAAATGTCATCTTTTTAAGTAAGTGAAATTCAGGTAAAATTTCATCACTTAATTATAATCACATTAATTCTCATCATGAAATAGTCGACTCTATTGTTAGAGATATTTCTCTAAAATGTAACATTTTTTCATTTAAATTACATTTATTTGTGGTTACTGTTTATTGTAACAAATAATATGGCACAGAAACATGCAGTGATGACATTTTATTTTTAAACGTATTTATTTAAGCAGAAACAGTGGGTCCATCAAAATAAGTAATATTACAATTGGTTTACAGTTTTAGTTCTTTAATTATAGAATTTGAGGCTAGAGTGCTTTAAATATCCCAGTTCTTTTTTTCTATTATAGTTAATAGTTAATATTACA